ACACGTTTACGGTATCTATTTAATTAAAATTTTTAATACATTATTATAACACACACACACTGTTTTATTTATTTTATTTTTATTATTTTTTAACACACACACACACACACACACACACACACACACACACACACAAACACTTTAATTACTTTACGCTTTAATTACTTCTTTAATGAAATGTATGGGGTTGATTGTTATGTAGTTTGTATGATGCTTTGGCAATATTGTTGTTATACAGGGAGGGAGGGAGGCAGACTACACAATATTCACACAGAGACACAGACAGTAAAGATAATGTTGCTACTTGCTACTGTTACTGAATGAATAATGGTACAGATATTTATAGTAGTGTTAAAGATAATAACCATAATGTTAAAGATAATAATAATAACATAAGACTACAAAAAATCAAACAAGCTACCGCACACTGAAATTACTTTCCCATTGATGTCTCAATTCGTGCACTTCCACTTACTATTTTGAGGGCATAAGTGTGTTCACACTGGCAAAATGCACTACACTGTGAGTACATGGATGGTGCACTCATAATGGCCAAAGAGTTGAGTGTGGAACGGTGGGCGCTTCTCACCCTCAACGGGTGCCATTTTAGCTACGTAGCGGAAGGGCGGGACCAACAACATGGGAAAAGCGGAAATAAATACATTTGTTTGTCGTATATAGTTTATGTGTTTATTAATTCTCCATACTTCTCAACTATGTTCTGCAATTGGAAAGATGACAAAATTGCCTCAAGGCTATAGGTGACTACATCAATGTGAACAATTAATGTGAAATCTATTGATTAATAATAATAAAGTAAGGTACACCCAAAAAAAAAGAAAAAAAAAGAAAAACTCACCAAAATACTGGAATTACCATACTCTTATTAATCTGCCATTCACTTTACTTAAACGAATGATTTGATGTTTATCTGATTAATGATGTATTTTCGCTCTTAACAGATATTTTGGTCAGAATGGATGGGTGAAATTTGGATGCAACTGTTACTCTAAATTCAAAGATACAGCTGAAACTCGAAAAATTTGCATATCGTGCAAAAGTTCATTTATTTCAGTAATTCAACTTAACTGGTGAAACCAACCAACCAACCAACCAACGACTCATTACATGCAAAGTGAGATATTTCAAGCCTTTATTAGATATAATTTCGATGATTATGGCATACAGCTTATGAAAACCCCAAATTCAAAATCTCAATATTAGAATATTGTGAAAAAGTTCAGTATCGCACTTTAATCAGCTAATTAATCCAAAACACCTGCAAAGGGTTCCTGAGCCTTTAATTGGTCTCTCAGTCTGGTTCAGTGGAATTCACAATCATGGTGAAGACTGCTGACCTGACAGTTGTGCAGAAAACCATCATTGACACCCTCCACAAGGAGGGAAAGCCTCAAAAGGTAACTGCAAAAGAAGTTGGATGTTCTCAAAGTGCTGTATCAAGGCACATTAATAAAAAGTTTAGTGGAAGGGAAAAGTGTGGAATAAAAAAGGTGCACAAGCAGCAGGGATGACTGTAGCCTGGAGATGATTGTCAGGTAAAGGCCATTCAAATGTGTGGGGGAGCTTCACAAGGAGCGGACTGAGGCTGGAGTTACTGCATCAAGAGCCACCACACACAGGCGGGTCCTGGACACGGGCTTCAAATGTCGTATTCCTCTTGTCAAGCCGCTCCTGAACAACAAACGTCAGAAGAAAAAAAGAACTGGTCTGTTTCTCAGTGGTCCAAAGTCCTCTTTTCTGATGAGAGCAAATTTTGCATCTCATTTGGAAACCAAGGTCCCTGAGTCTGGAGGAAGAACGGAGAAGTACACAATCCAAGATGCTTGAAGTCCAGTGTGAAGTTTCCACAGTCTGTGTTGGTTTGGGGAGCCATGTCATCTGCTGGTGTTTCTGTGCTTTATTTTAAGTCCAGAGTCAGCGCAGCCGTCTAACCAGGACATTTAGAGCACTTTATGCTTCCTTCAGCAGACGAGCTTTATGGAGATGCTGACTTCATTTTCCAGCAGGACTTGGCACCTGCCCACACTGCCAAAAGTACCAAAACCTGGTTCAGTAACCATGGGATTACTGTGCTTGATTGGCCAGCAAACTCGCCTGACCTGAACCCCATAGAGAATCTATGGGGCATCGCCAAGAGAAAGATGAAAGACATGAGACCGAACAATGCAGAAGAGCTGAAGCTGCTACTGAAGCATCCTGGTCTTCCACACCACCTCAGCAGTGCCACAGGCTGATAGCATCCATGCCACGCTGCATTGAGGCAGTAATTCATGCAAAAGGGGCCCAAACCAAGTACTGAGTACATATGCATGATTATACTTTTCAGATGGCTGACATTTCTGTATTTAAAATCCTTTTTTTTTTTTATTGATTTCATGTAATATTCTAATTTTCTGAGATTTTGAATTTGGGGTTTTCATAAGATGTACGAAATAATCATCGAAATTATGTCAAATAAAGGCTTGAAATATCTCACTTTGCATGTAATGAGTCTATATAATATATTAGTTTCACTTTTTAAGTTGAATTACTGAAATTAATGAACTTTGCACGATTTGCTAATTTTTTGAGTTTCACCTGTAAAAAGCTTGTAGGAAAGCAGCGAAGAGTGTCAGAAGCGAAGAGTTTTCGCAGTTCTACACAGCAGAAAGGTGCAAAAAGGTGAGTCTCAGTAATTTAATTTGTGCAATCAAAACAATTAAATGTCTGCGGTGTGAAATGTGTCTATGCTAACTGCAGTATGTTACTGTGTGTGTGCAGTCGATTAGATATGTCTTGTTTCTAGGAATGCAGAATAAATGATGAACAAGGAAGAAAGTGATGTTACCAAGACAAACAAACTATTATTACCAAATAATAATTGAAGAAAATATAGAGAGGTTGAACCTTTACAAATATTCATAACTTTATGGTGGCTCCGGGATACAAAATACAACAATACTAAATGTTGACAAAAGTGAGCATTTTGGAAAACACCAAAACAAAACAGAAAACATTTAAAAACAGAAAATGTAGGAACCTACTATTGGCAAATTTGTTTCTTATACCATTGGTCACTGTTGTATTAAACTGTAGGTAAAAGACAGCAACAGTTAAGTTCTTTAAGCTTTAGTGTTTTTTGTGTGACCACCAACACAAAGCTCAAGTTAACAACTAGATCAACACCGTTCCATAAACCACATGACTTCATTAACTATAATACTTTACCATCAACATCAGGCACTGGTGTCAATACAGTAAAAATACCTTTTCAAAAACCTCACCTTCCATTGCAGATCAGTAACATTTGTGTTGCAATATTATTATAATATATAAAATAAAAGGAACAGGAAGACTCTGTCGTGTCTAAAACCATAGAATCGACTTTGTGTTTAGACACGACACGAGTCTTGTGTTCCTCTCATTTTACTTATCACTGTACGATCACGGTGTATGTTGGTGACAGTTTGAACAATGTGAAGAAAAACATATGTTTTGTGTACTTACATGCAGAGGAATGTATGTAACATGGACAAACTGCAACAAGAATACAAAAAAGGCACCTACCTTTTCTGGATCAGGGAAAATTATTGTTTGCTTTTGTTTTTTCATTGCAATTTCTGTTTTGTTGTTGTGTTTTCAGAAATGTGCCATTTAAAATGTTACTGCATTGTCTGTTAGGTTGATTTGTTTTATGAAATGCGTTTTTTTCTGTATTAATCATGTTTTAGTTCATTTAAAATGTGTTTTAGATTCTGCATTGTTTTTTTCTGACATGTGTTTTCTGTTTTATAAAAATACTTATGTGTTTTTTGGGGTGGGGGGTTTGCTGTGTTTTCTGAATTGTTGCTGGGGTTTTTTTTTTTTCAGTTTTGCTGTGGGTATTTTGATTATGTTGTGTGTTATGTTTTTATTAATGTTGCTCAGTTTTCTGTATAGTGGTGTTTCATATAATCATAAATACACATCCTCTCTCTCATCTCTGTTTTCATTCTCAGTCATTGCAAATAATGTAATAAAGAAAATGTGCCTGAAATATTACATTAACTATCCTCAATATTGATTATTCATTATTGTCCTTGTTTTGCCTTTGGGTGTGTGTGAGTGTACAGAATTTCAGTGCGGATGGTTGTGTCGTGACAGCTTACAGCTGGGCTGCTGTGTGTTTGCAGTGGTACTTGAAATCATACTAGCATTCTGAAAAATAAACACTTTAACTATGCATATTCCTCTGTCATTTAGCCAACAGGACTCTGTGTTACTGACATGTGAATAGATAGTGTGTGATGAGTGCTTGGCTCTCAGTGAAACTTACCTGAATGTATAAGGTTTGCAAAAAAAGAGAGCAGATATGATGCAGGTGTCCAGCAGGGTCAAGCTGTCGAGTGTCTGCTCTTTGTTTGGTTAAGAGCAGGATTTGATGGCAACTTAAGGATGTGTAAGGTCAGGTCTAGATAATAGTGTCACCAGTCAAAGGGCCATGTAAAATTATGATGACACAGCCTGATACCCACTGCAGCCACACAGCAGAAAGTTCACTTCTGTTTTGCAGTGGTTGAATGCAACTAAGTACATTTCTCACGTACTTTACATACAAATTCCAGGTACTTGAGTATTTCCATTTTATGCAGCTTTTTTACATCTATTCCACCTCATCTCAGAAGCAAATGTGTTTTACTCCACTACATTTGTCTGACAGCTTTAGTTACTTTTCAGATTACAATTGACCAACCCCTTCCTGTCCGGTGAAAGTCCTTTTCTAATTTGCTTGATAAATTGAAGTGTTCCTTCAGTGGGTTGTGAAAATTCAGAAAATGTGAAAATGCATCGTCACAAAGCTGAAAAACCTGTAGTGGAGTATTTTCACAGTGTGGTATCAGTACTTTTTGTTAAGTAAAGGATCTGAGTACTTCTTCCACCACTGATGTTTCCTCTGTACAGCAGAGGCTGTTACCCTTTTTCAGAACAAATATCAAAAAGGTGTCTTTCAGACAACTCACCACCGGGCCCGGCTCCCCACGATCACCTCTGGCTCCTCTGATTCCTGTGCCTCCCTGTTTGAGACACAGATAGCAGGAGGTTATTCACGGCCTCATTTCTGTGTTAGTGTAGTCAGTCAATCTTACAGCCCAAAAAGCTGACAAAACAAGCTGAGATACAAAGAAAATGTGAAAAGAAAACTGTATTGAATGAACTTAAGTAACTTCATGAAGCATGTGATGTACAGATGAGTTTGTGGGCCCTCACCATCTGTGTGACTGCGAGCATGAACGTGCTGTACAGTCTGCGTGTTTTGGTTGGTGGACACCGATATAGTAAGTACTTAAGTCCCTCTGTTGCCTGTTTGCTAAACTGCTGCAGCACAAATGTCTTAAGCACTCTATAAACTGGCAAAGTGCAAAAATGTGGCAATATGTATCATACAAATAATTAGGTTTACTCATCATTATGTTTATTTGCAATATGATGTAAGTGCAGTATCAGCATTAGATCAAATGCAATATCATCTTCAGTGTTTGACTGACTGGGTATGTATTTGATGTATTTGTGTGTGGCTCACTGGTGGTCCAGCAGGGCCGGGGGGGCCTTTGCTGTCCTGGGTGCAGGTGCAGGCTTTGGGCATGGCCGGGCAGTCAACCTCCTTCCTCTGGATGATCACAGCATGATGAGGATGACAAAAAAAGAGAAAACGATATGGCAATGACATGATAAGTGATAAAATAAAGCAGGCAAATTGGGAGTTTGACTCTCTGACGTTTTCCACATGCATTTCTCTGTACTGCATATTTCAGCTCACAGTGAAAGACTTTTCTTTTAGATAATATAATTTCCTTACTTGATGTATATCTTGTGGAAACTGGTGGTTTCAGTGATGGTTTTATTGGTTTGAGTTAAATTTTTAAAGTTGCTGACAGGTTATCTTTAAAAGATACTATGTTCTCAGAAAGGAAATTATGCATACAAGCAATTCTTGTAAACAGGTGATACAGCACGCAAACAAAACCTCACTGACTTTAACGTTAAATGTCAAGATTAAATGTTTTGCCATCGAAAGGTCGGCGGTTCAATCCCCGACTCCTCCAGGCTGCTTGTCGAAGTGTCCTTGGGCAAGATATTGAACCCCAAATTGCCCCTGGTGGCTGTTCCACTGTATGAATGTGTGAATGTTAGTTTCTGTTTGAGCACTTAGGCTCAGTGTATGAATGTGTGAAGAATGGTCAGTTTAAAAGTTTACAATGAAGAATAAACACGATGTACTAAAAAGTTTTTTCATGACGCCCTTGTGTAAACACTGTAACAGTTACATTTCAAATCTGAACTGTTAAAATGTCAGTAAATCTCTTCTTTCTTGAGGACAGACAGACGAGTAAACTGAAAAGTAAAGAGAGGTTTAGAAACAAATTAACCTCACCAGACCAGGAAGTTCGCAGCACTTGTCTCTGTTGGCCCACGAAGTGCTGCAGACAATGTCAAAGATCTGCAGCTGGAACTGCAGAGGAGGAAAACAAACAAATGTTAAGAATAACAATAATGACATAAAATACAAAACTGAACTTTTAACAGCCAGATTTTTTTCTTATCTTATTTTGGTTTTGCTCCATAATATGACACAAGTCAGTATCTTGTACTTGTAAAATTAATTCACACTTTGTGCCTTTGAAGTAATCTGTCCCCAAGCACCTAAACTCACACAAAGATAGTTTTATATCAAGACCTCATAACTGACTCAAAAGTACTCATAATTTCGACATCTGTAACTTCATGATTAAATAAAGTAAAACACGTTATCACTTTAAATGAATTCAGAAGCTTTCTATAATGGCTTCCAAATTTCATAATTACACAAAAAGGAAAGTACACATGGCTTGTCTAAAACAAATGTGACGGAAATCAACAGGGGGGGTTTATTATTTCACATGGCGGGATTAAAATCACTGATGATTCCTGCAACTTCTACAAATCACTGGATGTCCCGAGGTATTTTAGTGCTGTGCAAATAAGACTTGTTGCTTAATCATAATCCTGCATTTAATGCCAAAAAAAGGATTACTGTCAGGTTTACAGCTTCCCTTTGAACTCGTTTACAAAGGTCTGTGTTCAGTTTGTCTAATAAGGCGCGGTGAATTCTGATGTACAAAATTAGAGCATTAGCCAGGACCGCCCTGTGATTCATGGGGTTTAAAACACAGTGGGAGATCATAAGCCTCATCTTGCACTGTAGAAATATTCAAAGAAAGAACAACACGTTCAGCTGCTCCTGGAGGCCAATGTGGAAAAACTATTCGTTCTTCTATCCGGCTTTTTTCAGGTTCAGGAACCTTGTTGTGCCATGAGAATGTGCACGAGCGTACAATCATGAAACTGATGGCCTCTTGAAGGCCGGTATCGAGCCTCAGAACAGCAATATCTTTTCCTCTGTAAAAACCACCAACTGGTGCTCAGTTTTGGGTGCTGACACAAATGTGGCCGTGGAGAGCGATTTTAAAAACACTGGTGGGAGTTATTTGACACATTAGTGAAAATTCTTCAGCTTCAGAGCCGAGTCAATGTCAAGGGTTTTCTCTTCAAAGGGAGATCAAACCAATCAGACACAAAGTCTGCCTCGCTGCTATTTCTGGAGGAGGGTGGCTGGAAATTGATTTGTTTGCATTCACAAAGCTGCTCAAGGAAACGTCTTCGCTTTGATGAAAAAATTAAACATAGATGAAACGGCATAAGATCAAATACTGGAAGTTAGAATTCATGCGTGAACATTTCGTTGTACTTTACTTTCTTGTGGTGTCATGGAGTAACGGTGTGCGAGTGTGTGGTGGTGATTTGTTGTACACATACAAGGACTTTGACACTGGATTATACTGTGTGCATGTTTATATTAAGGCTATGTGTGTGTTATCCTCACCGGTGCAGAGTTGTCCTTGTTCCCTCTGGAGCGGACCATCCTGCCCAGAACTTCCAGTCCGTCTACGGTGATGTTTCCCGCTGCGTTGATGGCTTTCTCGCCCACCATCTTGCAGTCGATCACCACTTTGGCGCTCGTCTTGCTGACTGCAATGTGAAGCTGCGTGAGACAAAACATCCAACATGTTCACTACACATCGCTCCTTCAGACTTGTTTTTAGTGCATTTAGTCACCTGAGATGTTGGACTGACACTTTGACAGTTCGTCGGTTTAACATCAGTTTTTGTTTTCTCCATTTCTTCATTCGAGGTCATTTGCCTGCTATTCAAAATAAGCAATATGAAGAAAGCAGTTTGGCTGTGAGGAGCATCCCTGTTTTACTCTGTCCTATATTTGCAGCCTTCAGAAGGCTGTAGCTTCATGTACTGTGGTAGAACAGCGCCCTCTTCCTGTGTAGAGCAGGAAGGTAAACAAGCTCTTTTATCTGCAAATCCAATCTGATGACTCTGAAGGTAAAATACAGAGCAGAGGCTGGAAATGCATTTGCAACACCACCACACATTAATTTACATCAATCTGATAATAATGTGTCAGATTTAGCCAAAGGCCTTCTTTTCATCTGTAATCCCAGGGTAGGTTGATGTTATACATTACACAAGATACAAATAAAAACCAACACACCCAGAGAAGGAATGGAGAAGATTAAAGAATATCTGACAATCACAACTTTACATTAGACAAAGACTAAACATCACAGAAGACTCACTGCACTCTCTCTGTAAACTGTACCCTCTTGTTTGTTTAGTTTTTTTACATAAGGTTTTAAAGTTAAGTGGGTGTTAACATGCCCCACATTTATTCTGTATATTTGATTCCAGCTTTAAACATAACTTTTCTAGGCAGACTGCCAAAGAGATGATGAGGAAATGAAAACATTAAAAAGTTAATTTTGTTTTCACTGGAAAATAGTTAAAGCCCGCCAAACAAAATGTGTGTGTACGCGTGTGTGCGCGCAGTGTGAAAGCACACAGACAGACACAAACTACTTAAAACTGCAGACGTTTTCATCTTAAATGAATAAAAACACAAATGAAATACAAAATGGCTTTGCTAAGGCGGATTCAGGATAAACAAACAAACCTGATTTTACTTCCAATATTAAATTTCAAAGAAGTGCGAGCTCGTGTTTTAAAATGAATGTCAGTGCACAATTATAGCTCTGCAACCTGGAACTGGGACAAAGACCAGGAGAGCGTGTGGAAACGAAACTAAAATTACCTCCCTGAGCGACATGGCTATTTATAAATGCACATACAGGAAGTTCTGTCACCGTCATGGACAGCAAAGTGCTGAACTGTGAGGCAGATGAAACGTCGCCCGTCTGTGCTGAGAGGCTTCCTCAACACCATTAACCCTCTTCTCCTGTAACTTTTAACAGAGCTGCTGTCAGTGACCCTGTGTGATTGTTTTCTGTACAGACTCACACACATCTGAACCCTATTAACCTTCCTCTATAAGCACACCTTTGTTCGACGGGTAAAAAGAAGAGTTGGTAAAAGTTTTCTCTTGTGTGTTTCCGGCTGCTGTATTTACAGAAAAGGAAAAAATAAAAATGCTTAGCTGTTGCTGAGGGATGCCTGTGTGCGTTTCTCTCCCTTATTTAAATCTCCAGTTTCTATAGGCTACAATTAAAATTCACAGCACTGCAAATTAACTTATTAAAAAGCTCCATGTTTGTCCTGGAAAAGAGGATATTCAAAACGCAAAACACATACACAGCTCTAAGGAAAACAGGCCATAAACTGAAAAAAGTCTGCCCTGTAATTTTGACTCTAAGTATTACTAAGTGGAGTTGTGACACATAAGCATGACTTAACTTTGCACTTCTCTCGACACAAGAAGTGAAAAGTTTCCAACATTTTATAATTTTTTTCTTTTTGTTAGAGCTCTTGTAAGTTGTTGTGTTTAGATCAGAGGAAATAAATAAAGCATTTTATTCTTAGCGGGGACAAGAAATTAGTTTTACTGTTCAGCATCAACAGATGATTATAGTCCACAGAAGTACACAGTTTTACAAATAGCAGGGTGCAGACTAATAATACTCAACACCCTGCAACAGAGAGACTCATTTCCATGTCAGTAATGTCGTTAGCATATCTTTATACAGAGGTTAATGAAACGGATCACAGGAGTTTTAACGGACTGAACGGTTTCACACTTTTTATTTACACCTTACTGTAAATGCTACTGGAGACATTCCTTATTTCACAGCCACAGAGAAAGAAATAACTTTTTATATTTATGAAGACAGTGTTGCAGTAGAGGTAGCATCAATTGCAGGATTAACAAAAAAGGAAACCATAATCTATTCCTCATTATTATTTATACATTACCTATATTAATATTTACATGTCTCTGCACACTGCTGCTTTTTGCACTTATGGTTACATGCAAAACTGCATTTTGTTTTCTCAGTACAAAGTAGTAATGTGTTTATATGAGTTTTAATTTTGTTATGATTCTGTGGGGACGACATACTTTGCAATGCAAAAGTGAGAAGTGCTACACAAGGTTATTACTATAACTATAATTATTCCTACTACTACTATACTAGTAGTAGTAGCAGCAATAGTAATGGCATTAGTAGTAGACTCTGTTTGGCTAGAGGATGTTCATTTTTAACCTCACAGCTCTGACGTAACATCCTCTTCACCGTCTATTTATTTAGAAAGTTTATTCAGAGGCCAAATAATATAGGGATAACACAAACTTTATTTTAAAACATTATTTATTGTATATATATATATATATATATAATTACTATAATGAGTCAGGCCTGTGATTCCCGTCCCACCTGCTCCCGTTGACTTTTTCTCCCGGTCCTCTCCGAGTCCCGTGATGATTACTGTAATTGACTACAATCCCACGGGAATCCCTTGACCCACAGGAGTCCTCAGCCTCTAATGTATATAGTAGGGATATTAAGAGAAGTAGCAGCTGTATTCAGGACAGGGTTTTTGCTCAGTCATTGTTTGCTGTGGGGGTCGACTCTGTGTTTGGTCTGTCTGTTGAGTTTAAGTTCACTGCTGCTGTGAAATTACTTGTAAATGTCAAAGTGATTTTTCATGTTAACTGAGATGAACTTTCTCAGCAGGGAAACAAACTGTGTGCTGGTGCACTGAACATCTCAGAGTGAATTCACTCGTTTTAAAAAGGTAGGGAGCCATTATGTCAAGGCATGCAAAGATACACTGTGGTAACACAGAGAGTGACGATACAGAGTGAAAATAAATGCTTGTGTACTAACAACCATCCACCAGAACCTGGTTTTAAAAAAACAAAAAATAAGAACTATTATTAGTATTCAACAGAGCTGGCTGCAATGGTTGTCAAAATTTGCAAATAATTTACTTCATAATTTCTACTTTATAAACACCTCCCTCAGGTATATTCATGCAGATGGGCTGCAGCTGAGTTCTAAGCCAAACATATAACACATAGTAAAATTAAGTCACGGTGGCTTATTCTGTATCAGGACTGCCTGCTGTAAAGGTGTAATCACAAAGTCTACTGTATCCTACTGTATCTGTTCCATACCCAGTCGTGTGGGAGTGTGTATGTACATACTCATGTACACATTTACAGGCATTGCAGAGGCCCGCCGACCTGCATTAGCACTGGAGAACTGTAATATAAATCCTGTTAAGAGTGTGAAGTGTGAAGCAGCGCAGCCCTATCAGTCTAAAAACCTTGCTGAAGGACATTTCTTCATTTTTCTAAGACGTCAGCTTTTCAGGAACTAAGAAATGAGACAGACGGAAACATTCAGAGTTTATCGAATAAAGTGTGAAAAGTGTTACGAAAGCTGAACTTTGGTAACACACAGGGGGACCATTCAGTCTTTAAAAGTTAGTTAAGTTATGTCTATCACCACAGTTGGACATTTCTAAGAGATGACTTTCAAATTAGTGATATCCTCTCATCCATAACCACCTATAAAAAAGTCAGATAGACTTCAGGCAGGCAATGCAGGTGCCCGTCCTCTAGGATTATAAAATCCACTATGTATGCAGTTGCATGAGCACACACACACAAACACACTCACACAGCGGAACAAAAGGTGAAAGGATAAGCAGGATAAGCTCTGCTGACAGCGAGCAGACAGAAGTGTCTGCCGATCAGTCAGCGAGTCCCTCAGCGCCGACACTGACACTAACACAACATGACTGTGAGCTGGTTCAGGCTCAGGCCACGACTCAACTACAGCCGGCCTGTCAGGACTCCGCCTACCGTCTCGCTGCTCAGCGAGGTTTTAGATGACAGAAGAACGAGTGCAAGGAAGGAAGTAGGAGGAGGGAAGGCCAGTAGGAACCCAAGGTAAAGAAGGGACAACTGAGCAAATTAATTAACATACTGATGAACCACTGGATCAAAAGAAACAGAAAAACGAGGCAGTCTAATGTCAATTACATAACTCTGGCTTTTATTTACTTCAATCACTGAACTCACTCTGCCTGTATTTGGGACAAATACATTAATTCCTTTAATTCCTTTCATACAAAACTCTTGCTCAGCAAAGATGGGAAATAGGCTGCTATGAAATTGTTTACTTCAACCAGTATGAATATTACTTGTATAAAAATAGGCTTTTTCATCTCTCTTGTTTACAATAATGGCAAATCTGAATTGTTTCCATCAAATTATTATAATATATATAAATTGTGGACATTCTAACCGATCGAACGATGTGTTGGGAATCAAGAGGCCCCACGATACGATATTATCACGATACCTATGTCACGATACAATATTATTGCATTTTATCTTTTTTTCCCAACTTCAAATTGTGTCCACAAAGGAAAATTCTTTTTCTAGTTGATTGAAAAAACAATTTTATTAAAGCCAAAAAACAAACTTCTCATGTACAATTTATATAGTAAAAGATCGATACTTGACGTTCGTGTTATGATACGATACTGCCTTGCAAAAATATATAGCGATACTACGCTGTAACGATTTTTTCCCCCCACCCCTAATATTGACAAAGGTTTTAACATTTATATTTGTATATTTGGGCTAAATAGATTAGAACTAGCTCTTGCAGGCGACCCAGTGGGGTTTAAGAGGTTTTATACATCCAGAGAACTTCTATAAAAACCTGATTAGGCGTCAAATCAAGACCCGTGTTTATGTGTCAAAACGTGTACCCGCACCAGGCCAGTAAAAGAGACGTCTAATTGGGAGTAGGCTATGATTTGAAGCTTTAAGGTATTAATCTGTTGCCAAAAACCCAGTCAGTCAGCAGCTAGATCAGTCATTAAAACAACAAGTTAGTTAACCAGCCACAAACAAACACATCATGTCTATTAGTCACTCAGTAAAATAAGCAGTTTGTAACTCAGCCCAACAGTCGTCAAGTGACTTTGCTGCTCCTGTCACATTCGTGTGAACATCACTGTGGCACTCAGCATGACTCTGCATCACCCTCTGCATCCTCAGCAGGAAGTGTTTTTTTTTATTTTTATTATCAGTGAAGAATCTCACACCTCATCACAGTTTCTGCGACGGACCGTCAAAAACGGTTGACTTTCCATCATTTATGCCCCAAGACATCCTGGTAAACACTTTAAAGCTGAAGTATTAAGTCTGTCACTCACTCTGACAGATGATCAATCAGTCAGTGTGTTAGGAATCAGTCAGTCAATCAGTCAGGCAAAGAAAAAAAGAAACCTGGACTGGAGTGATTCTGACCTTATGGAAACTGCCGTAGAAGAGTTTTTTGATTTCTGGCCCTTCGAAGGTGACCGTCTGGAACTCTCCTTTGTAGTCGTTGTTGAAGAACGTCAGAGTCTTTCCGCCGTCTGCATGAAGACACAACAAAAACTGCATGTTAACAAAAAAAAGAAAATAAAGCACTTGTCATATTTTTACTTTACTTTACTTTTATTTATATTATGTCTTCCTCTTTGACAGGTTTTGATTTCATGACGGGGATGAGTAAATGACAGCTTTTACCTGCTCCTTCATGACAACCATAACCATCCCTGGTGTTTTATACATTCAGTTTGATTGTGATGGATTTGTAATTATAGAAATAACAACGTACAAAATGACGAGAAACAAATGTTTTTTTTTTGACAACTGGATGCTCCCACAGCCAAGATCCCTGACTCACTGTCGAGGATGACTCCCACCAGCGGCTCGTTGTTCTTGTTGAGGATCTCCCAGAGGGCGAAGGGCTCCTCTGGAGTGTCTGGCAGCAGTCTGAACAGCAGGGTGATGGTGTAGTCAGAGGGCAGCCCTTCGGGATGGATGTACCTGTGAGTCAGAACAGAAACCCAGGTAAATATTGATTATGAAGGCTGAACAGTGTGGATTATGGGGTCTGAATACAGTCAATACTCAGCTGGAGCTATCAGAGTAAGTAATTCTATCTTACGTTGAACAAACACACTTTAATGTCTATTGTGTGAGATCCATGCAGCAGGTGGCAATAAAGCATTTAATAGACAAGGTACTATTTTATGAGAGAGGACACTTGTTAAACATCACAGTAACAAATACCTGGTTGGCTGTGCCAGAAAAGCATCGCTGTGCAGGTGGAAACTGGGGAAGGTATTGAAGGTGCCAGGTACCATTGAAACGCCAGAGACGCTGCTGTAGCGATTCTCCACCAGCCCAAACAGCTCCATCATACGGAAACCTGACGACACACGGTCGGAGGTTCAACTTGTTGTGGACAGTTCAGTGCATTCAAAAAGTAAAAAAAGTCAGAAGCCACCACTGTTTCATGAAATAAGCCTGTCTCAGTAAGATTTATTTCTCTGTGGCAGGCCGGGTTAGATGCACTGGTCAGTGATTTTAATCCTATGAGAGTGTGTGTGTTGCATTTCCTCTCCTATCCAAGTAATAACTCTGGCACCGATTACCCCATTTGTTTTTATGTCCTGGGGAAACATCTTGGATTTTAAAAGTGTATTTGAGCCTTTACTCACAAAGAGCTATGTTTCTTATTAGAGTTTTGTCATCTCGCTGCACTGTTTGACTGCTGCCAACACCAGCATTCAGTCTTAGTTATGAACCCAGATGTCAAAAGGAAAAAAGAAAAGCATTTTGGAAGAGCACGACTCAGCTCAGCCAGTGGGTTGTTGTTGTTGTTGAGAGATCTATTAAGGTTAAGATTTTATGCTCATCCTAGTAGCACCAACGTTACATGACAGACAGCAATGCAAATGAGAGTAAAATAAATATTCTGTTTGTATAAGAATTGGAAATAAGCAAATAAGCTTGGAAATAAGTAAAAACAACTAAAAATAGAATACTTCTTAATGTCTATCACATCCTCAGGGTATGAGGGCTACTTTTATATGCCAGGGGAGGATTTGCTATCCTGGCAAATGTCAGAGGGGATGGACCATTCGACCACACGGAATCGCGGGTGCTGTGTCATTTCGGCCACTTTACAAAACAAAGCCCACTGCTGATGGAGAAAGTCAACACGGCCGACACACACAGGGAGAGAGAAAGAGGCGGGGCAAGCAGCTGTGTTATGCAGCAGAGTATATGTGCGTGCTTGTGTGAGAATATTACCTGCAGATTCAAGTAGGCTAGTGTAGTGAGAATGAAGCAGATTTAAAATGGTTAAATAAGAAATTACCCAAGCTACTAGAAATAGAAATATACTGTCATTCTGTGGGAAAACTGTGAAATAAATCAATACATTTTCACTGGACGACGTTGCATAAGATATGGTTTTATCACTTGCACAAGTTTACTATGTTTATAGTAATAATAATATGCCTAATAATAATAATATAATGCATTTGGCCCAGTTTGCCAGATGATGGGCAGACCAATTCAATTATGTGACTCAAATTGGGACATTCAATCAAAATTAAACACCTCATTAGACACCTCATGAGAGTGCAACATAATCTGATTGTCAGTAAAGTTACTCTTGTCAGAAAAGCAAACCATAATCCTTTCTACTTCTGCCATTTTCTTACTTGTTTTTATTCATGTGTATTCCAATGTTAAGAGCCGTGTGTGAGAAAACATTTGTTTGCGATGTTTACATCCTACACTGCGTTCATGAGCTAGGATGTTGCTGGAATCAGTACAGCCAGAGACCTGGTCTTCTAGTACCACTACCACTGTGAGGTAGGATACTGCTGTAGGCCTAGCAGAGACAGGGAGGAGTGTGGTAGAGGCGGGAAGTAAACTGTGACAACCAAATGTTCGGTTTATATCTAATTCTGCGGTAGAGAAAGACAGTAGCAGCAGACAAGCAGACAGAGCACACAGACAACATGTACATTTTTTTTATAAATGTGTGCTCTTAAAAACTATTGAGCATTGTCTGCTAGTCATTTACATTAAATGTTACACACAGTAGGCCTACTGCTTGTATTATCTCACCATCCTGTACAACAACGTAGCGTAGTAGTAGTGAATGTGTGTGTTCGTGATAATGTGGGCTGGTGTGGCTACAGTGCCAGGTCTGAATTTTTGTCCCAGTCCACCCCTGGTGTACGCTGTACTGTTCATATATGATGTGCATACAGTGCGAACACATGGAAAAGGCCAGCACTGTTCACAGTAGATTTATCCACAGGGCTGTAGTCTATGCTGCTCCCGTGTTTTCTACATATCTATACTTCCAAGTGTGTTTGCATTACAGGAATATGTTTGATCTTTCACCTGGTGTTGTGCTGCCGCTCATCGGTACAGACGGACAAGCTGGAAAAGAAAAACAGTGTGTGTTTAATTATGAAGACACATTTCTTCAGCCTGGAAATATTTTAAAATCATGATAACACAGTCAACCATTTCCAATACGTCACACCTGGACTGAAAGTGACTGACTGAAATAAACTCTTCTGGCATCACATCTAGTCTCTGAAACCGACAACCTCAGAGTGTTTGATAAGCTGCGGTTACTCACTGGCAGTTGCAGCCTCACACACGAAGGTCACCAACTTCTCTTCGATCTTCTTAAAGGCGTCCAGGTCGTCCACGAAGAAGACGTGTCTGTCGCTGGGTTTACTGGCGATGCTCACCAGCTCACCGTAGTCAGCGTCAGCGAAGCCGATAGCAAACACAATGTACCCTTCACAGGAAGACAGGAAGAAAAAAAACCTTTGTCATCAACATGGGAACAACCAGAGGTAGAATGAGCATCTGTCTTCAACAAATATGAAGCAAGTACAAGACAAAAATGTCAAGGTTAATGTGAAAATTTAATGTGAAAATTAGAAAACGTAAATTAAATTTTTTACTGTTTCTTTCTATTGACGTCATAATTTTAAGTGAAAAATCTATGAGAGCAAACCAAACAGGCAGGAATCCTGAAATCCAAACTTGATCTGTGGGACTTTTTTTAAAGCCACAAACAACACGGCCCTGACCTTCCATCTGCATCTCCTTGGAAACTTTGTTGACGTCATCCTGAGATCGGCCGTCGGTGAGGACCACGAGGACATTGGGGATTCCCCTCCTGACTCCTCCCTCTGCAGTGAAGATGTTTTCCTTCACATGCTGGATGGCTCGACCTGATTGAACAGAGAGACTCATAAGTACTTTGAAATGCTTTCAGTAATTCTCAGTCCTAAAAACAGACGTGTGAGAATGAACACATGCAGAAGGAGGAGACACTGATAGTGTACGGTATATTTCTTCTTTTAATAAATTTAGTAAATTTGAAATCCTATATCTGTTTCAGTACATAAAACTTGAACTGATGTCTGTCACTGTGGAAAACTCAGGAAAACTACTTGACAAAAATAGTTGAAGAGAAATCTCACTTGGCAGTTTCCCCGACCTCTTAAAACAATAATTGTGCATCACCATTTATAGTACAAAAAAACCACAAGAACATAATCGACCTCTTCCCGGGAAAAGAAGGCACGATCACGCTGCGTTTGTCTCCCTACACCAGCTCCCTGTAAGATTTCAAACTGATTTTAAACTTGTATTGCACACTTTTAAGGCCTTAAAAGGGCCTTGCTCCTAAATACCTCTCTAATTTATTGACCTGGCATGTGCCCTCTCGACCACTGAGGTCCCTGCTGGTTACTCCCAGGACTTTGTGACAAAGGGCCATTTTGTTATTAGAGCTCCTGCATTATGAAACTATCTGCCTACTATACTGAGACACACTTTATTTTAAATCTCTTCTTAAAAAAACTTGGATATTATATGTACACACACACACACACACACACAATATATTTTTATTGTTTTTATTCCTATTTATTTGAGCTTTTTCACTTTATTGTCTTTACTACCTCTTTGTTCTTGTTCTTTGGCCTTATTCTCATTTTATCTGCCTTATTTCTTTTAGTAAAGCACTAAAAAGTGCTATGTAATGAAATGTTGTTATAAATGATTAATATCAAATAATTGCCCACCCCATTACTCTATTAGTTTTTTCCTGTTTTATTTGTTTCAAGAGACGAAGCCTCCCCGCACGCTGATGTTGTTCTGAAGCTGTAGGGTTTTAATTTGGTGCCAGTTAAATTGCTGCGTCTGAATTCCATGTGGCAGTAACCTTTGTAGTCAGTCACAATTGAAGACCTTGAGGTTGCTGTTTTTGCTGCTGCTCTGTTTTCCTGCATTAGAAGATGAGTTTGTCGTCCATTTGACACCTACTGCCGACCTGTGATGAATTACTGCTAGAGTTTATCTAAAGACTTTATTGACAGCTTAATTTAATATAAATTAATTACTAGATGTTATTGCAGGATGACAACTCAACTCTTTTTAAAAAGAATGACAGGATGAATCTGTCTCCTCTGTTTTGTCCATCATGTCAGGAGCAGCGAGTCCACATCTAAGACCAGTTTCATGGTCTAAAAAGCCCTCTGCCACTTTGCTTCAGGTTGGTTTCAAGAAACAAGAGCCCACTTGGGTTCCAAGACTTCAACTTTGACAGCTGGACTTTGAGGACTAGTAAAGTGCTTGTTGCCATGGTTTGGTTGGCAAGGAAAATCTGCTGTTCCTCATTGTTGCAAAGGGAATAAGATGAATCAGAAACACTTGGAGAGCTAAAACGTGGTTTGAGCATCAAAAAGGAGAAGATTTATGTTACTGCAGCCATTACATTGTATTTGTAAACAGAAAATATATTAATAATAATTTTGAATATCTGTTAGTCAGTCAGAACAAGACCTTGACCCTTAAAGACATCACCTTAGAGCACTGGGAACTTGTGACGGTCATTTAGTAAATAATATGTGATGTTTGATGCAGGGTGGACCACAGAGCTGCTGCACGGCTTTTACATTTCAATAAAGGAATCAAGGAGCACCAGGTACTTGAAATTGATCCACTAATCAAATATTCTTCGGGCCTGTGGGAACATCTGGGAACAGATTCTTAATTGCAGTGTGCAGAAGGAGGTGATTGAGTGCTCTGAAACTCCCCAAACTGCTGCTTCCTGACAGAAAAGCAGGGTTAGTGTTTTACAGTGTGACATTAGCAGTGACGCTGTTACAAATCTGTTCTCTGCAGTCTCGTCCCTGCAGGAGAAACGGCTATGCTGCTTTGTAAACACTGATTAATGACTTCACCGCTCCCTGCTTCCCCACAGATTTCTTCTCATCACGCACACACACACACACACACGAATATAGTCTTTCTAATGCACTTTATAAACATCCATGAATGTATGCATGAAGACACATGTTCACAAGGGCAAGAAAGTGCAAATGTTTGACTCCCACACACATATATTGAAGGAACAACAGCAGACACTTGCACACAGATTTAATTTTCTGTTTGTGGTTGCCTGCGGCTCCGTCAGTATTGATAATGTCATTAGAAAGTTGTGAGAGTGTGTGTTTGTGTGCACACTGTTTGTCTCACACAGGTGTTGTTCTTGGATTTAAAGCTGAATTCTATCTGCTGCAGTCATAGAAAATGTACCCGGTTGTTTCTGTGTTGCAGCGTGTGTCCCGACCTCTCCCCTTTGTGTCCCGTAACTCCACCAGACTCCACTTACAAATTCGGCCACCATTTAATAACTCATAAGCAGCTGTATTATAGAAAAGGTTCAGTTCTCCCAGTCATGGCGCGCCTTCCTCAGCGGTGCACTCACCTGTCTTGGTGTTTCCTCCCTTGTAGGAGATCTTGTTGATGGCGTCCAGCAGCCGCTCTTTGTCGCTGTACGAGTTCAGTTTGAACTCTGTCCGGGCGTCGTCACTGAACTGGGCGATGGCCACCTGTCAAGACAAAACAGAAACCAAAAAAGTTGAGTTTAAAGGGTCAGTTCATTGAAAAAATAATTTTTCCACTCATCCCTAGTGTTATCTAGCCGAGCAGATCCTTTTGATTTTGCATGCTTTTAGGATAAAACTTTTGTCACCGTATCAACGTTTCACTTCATTTGTGTAGGTAAGGAACCATTATTTTTGTACAATCTAATATTGTTGTTTATAGTGTTTCCGCTTTTAGCTTCATTAAACGAGAACAATGGTGATGCTCCTAGACCATCACAGGTAAACAGGCATTTCTCTACAGACAGAGAGTTGGTGGATAACCATGTGAAGTCAGGACTTCTCTATTCAGAACAACATTTTCAATAAGCCCTGTTGCTTTTTGTCTGACAAAAGACAAACATGCCTGAAGGTTCGGGGTTTTTTACTTCTTCCACCATGTGCTGACCGCACTGAAAGCTTCACCTGTGGCTGTGATGGACACCACTCATGTACCGCTTTCAACAATCAACATTTATTGTAAAACACGTTAAAACAGATGTATGAGCAGAGTCCTGGTGTTGTGACTGAACTCAACTTGGATCACCGGAGAGAAAAGGAAAATAACACAGCAGAAACTGAGAATGATACAGAGAATAAAATTCAATTGTTGCATCAGTGACCTGGGCTGTGGCCACCTGGGAGACCGCACAGGAATATAATTTATTTGTAAATAAAAACCATACATGAGAGCAGCCTAGTGGGGCTTATTTCAGGAATCTGCTGTAGGACTGAACACACTGAACAGGATTTCGGCCTCTTGGGAAACACCAGTAGAATACAGATTTTATGTAAATAACAAAAAATACATTGGCTGTTAGTATAACAAAGTTTGTGCTGTCCTAGAAAATGGCTTTTTTTTTTGGGTTCCATTGTATTAAATTTGCAAAATAAATTACAATCTTAAAGGTTAAAATATATTTAATATAGTTGCAATTTTAATCACAAAATATGCATAAACAGTTTGCCTTTAAAGCTCCTTGTACGTGCTGACTGCTGGAAAACGCTGATAAGAAAACAGACATCTTTATTCTGCCTTGGTGCTTAAATGATTAGCTGATTAACTGATTAGATATTGACAGAAAATGTACAACTTTTGATTTTGAATTATGATTTTTAATTGTAAGTTATTTATCATTTAAAATAAAAATGTTTGGGTTCAGGTTCCTTTATATATATATATATGTTTCCATATGCACAATAAAAAGATGACTTTATTTTTGCTTACTTGAAAAATAATGAAAATCATATTCAACCGTTTAAGTCATGCAAAGAATAAATACTTGTTTGCTGTGTGTGATTTTGGACAAGTGTACATCGGGAAAATACTGTTTAACACAGACGCGGCGTGTGCAGTTAATACTGCTGTACTTGATGCTCTCTTTCTCGACGCGTCGGCTCTCCTGCCACAGCAGTGCTCGGCAAGTTACCAAAATACAGAACAGGGGAAAGCAAGACAAAGCTATTGTGCCTCAGGAAAACAATGTTTTGCCGTACTCCCAAAAGAGTTCCAATCTTTGTTTTCTTTGGTGGCTTTTTCTTACTGTGTCTGCCTGTCAATAACCTGTCAAACAAACTGGAGCGCTACAACACACCGAGTGCTAGAATAACAAATGTCAAGACTTTCATGAATAGTTCACTATCTCAAGAATGCTGAGGAGAAAGCAAAAAACCAACAACTACTACCCCTGGCCACCGCTCTGTCGTACCTGTGTGCCATCCGGTCCGATCCGGTCCAGAGCTCCGGTGGTGCTGTACAGGAAGCGGATGATCTTCAGGAAGTTGTCATCTCCGATACTCCAGGAGCCGTCAACCAGGAAGACGAGGTCCGCTTTGGCAGCCTTACAGACTGTACAAAGAGAGGAAGAAGGTGAGGACAACAACAAACTGAGGAGAGGGATGACTGAAGCAAGTTGAAGTTTACATTTTCTCTCTCCGTCTCCCCAAGAGGAAGTTTACGTTTTCTGTTTTTGTTTTCGACAAGGACGAGCAGATAAAAGATGGAGGATAGATGGAAGAAAAAATGTAGGAGGGGAGATGAAGGACGATGCAGAATACTGAAAGACGAAGGAGATTGAAGTACAGAGAGGAGACAGGCATGTTTGTAATACAGATCCGATTGTTGTAAAGACTAATACTTATTAAATAACTTGACATGAGTCATATTTTTAGGCTGATATCATATGTGCACAGTTTTCAAGAGGGATGAAACAGCGTAGGACTGAAGGAAAAACACACTGAGGCTAAGAAATCAGATGACTGTTTGTTTAATCCGTCTCCTTTTGGATTTCATCTAAAGCAAACACGAGTTTCTTTGTATCTAAATATTAAACGTGCTTCAGATTACACAGTGATTTTGGTTTGTTAAGAATTGAAGGGACGGAGATTGAAACTGTAGAGAAATACTTTCTCAAAAGAAAATAATCTATATTTTTGTTATCTGCTTTGTCGACTTTCTTTGGTTTGCTCACTGCAGGATGATTTCATTTTGCTCCTACCCTGAAAAATAAATACGTTTATTTCTCTGCTTCTCTTCTTGTCTTTGTTTAACGAGGTTAATAACTTTCATTTCTTTTTTATCGCTGTGCATATAAACAGACTCTTGACTTCATTTTAATGGATGACAGCTCGGGAATAAAAGAGTTTCTGAGTGACGTAAACATTAGATGGATTAGATCTGAAAAGGTCTCGACTTGTAAACGTCTGAAAATGTGTTACTCATTTAATTCAAAACACATAGCTTGCCTCCGTCGCTCTTCACCAATCATTCCAATCACTTCCTTCCCATCTAATAAAATCACAGTTAAGGCTGGCGCCGGATTGATCTGCAGACCGCTTTAAATCTGTCATGTGCTCTTTGTTTACAGCTAAAGTTCACTTCATAAACAACATAAGATGAAAATAAAAGCCCACCATGCGGCTCGCATTAATCAGGTTTTCTGAGGGGATATAGATTTCTTTTAGGTCAGTTCATTTCAGCCATTGTAAGTCCGCAACCATGCTGAAACCTCATAACTCCACATTTGCTGGTAAATATGAGACAGCGAGGTCGAGGCAGCAAGTAATGAAAAGAAAATGTGGATAAAAAATAAATTAAAAAAAGAAGTGAAAGAGTGAAAAGAGCTGAGAAATTGAGGGTCAATACTAATCCAATACTACACATTACATGTGAGCATCACTTTCAACCAGTATGATCAGAACACCTCCCTTTAAAGAAACCAGATTGGTGTGTGTGCATCAGAAGAGGTCAGATTATACTAAGAGTTATGTTATAGTGTTACTTAATGGAACAGTAGCTAGCACATGAGCCTGTTCTTTATCTGGTTTAGGGTTTAGTGGAATATATCTGGATCAGAATCATCCGGATTTGGAAATCCAGGATCACATAACCCATCTTATTTTTGTGCCGTTTCTTTTCAAAGCAACACTGGATTGGATCACCCGGATCCAGATGCAAACTTTTTAGGATCACCAAATCTGGATTTCCAGTGCTCTAAATGGGGCTACATATCACAACCTAGGCTGTTAATGATATAAAGACCAACAGGTAGAACGGCCAGCGTGGGGTCACCCTAATTTGAAGAGACAGAAAATGCACAATAACACAACAAAGACCATCTGACCCACAACAAAACCAAGAAAAAACAAAGAAATATACATTATTCACAGATAAACTGCAGATATTTTGAGCACGTGTTGTCCAATATTTAAAATAAAGATCATTCAGAGAGCAGCTTTTAGCTTTTAGGAGGTGATCTCAGAATGAGGGACTGACTGGACCTGCAATAAGCGATGAACTTGTTACAAACTACTTTTGAATGGTTCACCTGTGATGATTGCGCCTCACTAATAAGTGACAGTTGAAATTAAGCACATTATTTCTGTTTGATAGTGACAGCTGTTTACTGTACTGAATGGCTTATATGTAATGTCTACTTAATCTACTTTATTATAATAAAATTATGACATATTGTTCCTAAAATCCACCCTGAATCCACCCTTCTGTTGGGATCAGGACAATCCTGATTTCTTAGATCAAGGGGGTCCTACAAAAAAGTTTTGAACACCACAAACTGAAGGTTTGATCCAGATCAAAACCAGGATTGGATTAGGTGATCTGATCCGATTTCAGAATCCTTGTTTTTTTTTTCTTTTGAACAACCTATTTTCAAGATTTGATCCAATCCGATAGCCAAAATCCGATCATATTACTTTTGAACAACTGGGCCCTGGACAGCGAAGCAGGAAGCATCCAGTGCTGCACCACACCGGGCTCAGGGACAGCTTCCTCCGTCAGACCACCAAGCTCTCAAGCTGTGTGTATTACCTGTACACAGCTGTCATTACACATTTAAACACTGCATTACTTTCTACTGCACTCACTGGGGTGCGATTTTCTTTGGCGGGAGTCATTGCCAGCGACTGCTTCACTGTTGTTTCACTGCCTGTTCATTTGGCAACTTCTCCTTCATTCATAAAACCAAAGAATCTTATGAACACGAAGCTGTCAATTTTCATCATTTGAAAAAAGGGAATCCTCTTATTAGGTTCCTGAAATGCCAAATGCAAAGGAGGGGGGGGGGGGTGGACATCAGTAACGGCAGGTTCCTGTGAAGATGTTTTTTCTTCTCTTCTCGCAAAATATAAAAAAAGCTACGTAAGTTTAAAAAAAAAAGTTGATTCTGTGGTGAAGTGACGTGAAGAATGTGAATTACATGTTTGTGGTAACAGATCCAAGACTCACCAGGTTTTCATTTCAGACATTTATTTTAAATTACCCTTCTGTTGAAGATTTATTTCTGTAATTATATGTTATTTGTGTAAGCGTGATAATTGGAACCGAAAATTATCGTCCATTTCCACACACACACACACACACACATATATAGACATCTGAGGCATTTCTTTTATATGCCAGAATTGAGCGCGTGTGTGATTCAAACACATCACTGTGTGGGAGGAGAACAGTTAACTCTTCTTCACCCTGCCTGTACAGTGTCAGTGTGGACTGACACTAAACTGTCGTCCTCACACACCTCAAACTCTGCACTTCAACAAGTAACATGTCACATTTTGATTTATATAACGTGAAATGTGGGCGGACAGCTAAACTTAGTTGCCGTATCAGTGAGAAGTCACTGCAGTCACATCGGGGGGAATGAAAGAAATCCGTCAGAAAGCAACAAAACAGTCAGATTTCTGTTAAAGCACTGTTTCTGTTGGTTATTGCTGAACAGATTATTTCTGTAAATGCAGCCTATTGTTTCACCTGAAATGATCTTATGGTTTATATTTTGTGTATTTCTGTTATCTGAAGTTCGATTTTTTAAGATGACAGCATCACAGACATGATTTACATACAATGAGTGTGTCTCAGGCCTGATTTCGTCTCAACAGCGTGTTATTGACCTCGCAGGTGCACAGAATGTGGCTAATTGATTGATTGATTGAATGATTCTCCAGCTTTTATGGCACAGTAGAGTGTGGGCGTGTTGAACAGGGTACAGTTGAGCAGAGAGTGATTTATAGTCTTGAAATAGTCGCCATTACATCTTTAGTCTTCATTCACATTCCTCTGTGAGCATTATTGTGACTGTACTTCAGTAAAGTAAATAAAGCAAAGGGGAAATAATGAAACAACAAAAGCCTCAAACTGAACAGTTAGCAGTTGAGCAGTCAGTCTCCATAAATATATTAGAAGTTATTTTACTTAATTAAAAAGCCCTGCATTAAAAACATAAATTTTATCTGTTTTGATTACAGTTAGGTAGTAAAATAAAGCAAAGTAACAAAGTAGTAGTGCGTATTTCCCTCTAAAATGTAGTGGAATAGAAGTAAAAGGTAACATTAAATAAAACACTCATGTACAATTACATCAAGTGCAAAAATCAGCAAAACAAAGAGACACCATACTGCAAACATCAGCCAGCGTGACGCAAATATGATGAAACTGAGAGACAGAACCAGATAAACAGAAAAACAACAACAGATAATTAAAATCAAGACATCAACATCAGAAAATTGACAGGAGACGATCACTAATAATAATAATATCATCAAATCAGCCCTTACCTTCCTTGGCAGCGGGGATTGTGGGTAGCGGCGTGGTGGTGGGGGGCTTGGTTGGTGCTGGAGTCGGGACGGGTACTGCATAGGGAGAATAAACAAGACACACATGAAGACAGGAAAACCTGCAATTATGACCACATGCATCTTAAACCAATCACCACATGCTATACGAGCCCCAAATTAAATCCCCACCATTAAAAAAAGACATTAAAAACTACAAAAAGGAGTGAAGAGAGAACCTCAGACACACAGTCACATAGATAACGTACAGAATGTGTTAAATCACTACGTTCAGCTCTGTGGTTTCAGCTCCTGTGCAATTTGGTCGATTGATCGCGGTTTAAATTAAACTCCAACTGTTTCTGCTTTCAACTCTTTACCTTTAGTCTGTGTGGGGGGGCGGAAAAACTAGATAAACCAGCTGCCCCCCTCCCCCCCACAAACACACACACGGTTTATTAAATCAGTGGCGTTTAGGCAGTAAATCAGCTACCTGAAGCTGTGAATTACGTGTGATGGCAGGTAGGGAGCGTTCACTAGCGGCTGCTGCCTGCAGCGATGGGGATAGTCATTTGGAGAAAAGGCTCTGGCTTTCATTTGCATCAAAACAAAGCAATAAATCACTGTGGAGGCTCTCTGCAGAGCTACAGTACGGAGGGGAGCAGCTTCAAGCAAACAAATATCTGCTCTGGGGAAGGAATATTCTCTCTTTTCCCTTCCTTTCTTTTATCTCTGGAGTTATTTCTTAGTCCTGCTTTCACTTCTTCACCCTGCCTCTCCTCTCTTTGCCCTCAACCGATTAATTTCAGTATAATACGGAAATGAAATTCTAGAGACTCCAAATTTGTCCCTGAAAGGTAATCCATCTCAAGAAACATTGTGCCTGCTGAGATTTTTGCCAAACTTTAGATAGATTTGCCGCGCCATGCAGACTTTACACCTTCAAATACAACACAATGCGGGGACATAGTAACTCTTGCTAACTACACTACAATTGATTCTAATTTCTCAAGTTTCTTCATGCTTTTAGCGCGGATCTTGTTATTTGTTTAAGGCGTTTTGTTGTCTTTGCTCTTATGAAAGCACTTTGTAACACTGTTTTAAAACATGCTCTATAAATTAAGATTATAATTATTATTACACTGTTTTAAATGTAAAGTTTATTTAGTTGGCTGCTGGAAGCAAGTGAATTTGTATAGCTGATGCTGAAACATCGAACTCCCTGCCTGAGGAGGAAAGAACACTAAAAATCTTTTGAAAAAACATCATTGATAGGAAACTGATGGATGAACATGGAAAGCAACAAGATTTGTCAGTAAATATCAGCTGAGTTAAGTTCTAGCTTTAGCTAAAAAGGCAGCTGACTAATATAAACACAACAGGTACCAATGTTAACATGTGACTAATAACAATTACTAGTACTAGCTTCTTTTACTAGTCATCTGTCTTCTTCTAATTTAGCTGACGCTTTTATCCAAAGCGACTTAATGACATAATCTGATAGAGGCACTCCTGATCTAATACAATGTAAACACCACAACTGATCAAACTGATTAGTAACGTTTTCAGTTGAAATCAGCAAATATACAAATCAGACACACTCATATGTACTTGATCAGGTATGCGATGGTAAAATAGACTGAAAACGATCTCAGAAACACAATGAAAGAAGACAGAAAGACATAAAAGAAACTGTATCCACACAGTTTAAACATGTAATGGACATTCACTCTCAAATAAGGTTTAGAAAGGCGGGTTAAACTTGACGAGTCTTCATCTATGCGTTAAAGCCGGCGAGAAAATGTTATCATAGCTAACAGGAAAACGGGTGTATGTCCCTTTAAACACTGCAAACTGTCACTGTACAGTGTCCATTGAAAATGAAAAAGAAAAACAACAACAAAAAACCCAGCCCACCCACACCAACAACCTCGCTCCCTCGTCTCCAGACACTGGGTCTTGATTAGTGTTTGGGGCTGCCGGTGCAGAACAAACGGCTCATTCTGAAAGGAAGGTTTCAGCTCTCATCGCTCCCACAAGGATAAAAGATGTTTTATATTGAATATGACGTGGTCGTCCTCCTAGCCTTCTTTTATACACAATGACAGCTGACAGAAGTTTCTGTTTGAGTGTGTGTGTGTGTGTGTGTGTGTGTGTGTGTCTGCTATATTGTTATTATGACACATTTATGGGTGCATTGAATTGGGAGTCTGGCACAGTGTACGTAGGAGGTAAAGTGCCTGATGTGTCAGTGGTGTATGTATGAGTGTCTTTGTGCATTACAGCCTCACATGAAGTGTGTGTGTGTGTGCAAAAAATAGTTTGTCAGCATATCAGCTCTAAAAAATCTCTAAAATTTAGAATCAGATAATCCTAAATATGGCAATGCCATCCTACAATTTTATCATATCTCATCTTGAGAGACCAAAAAATTGGGTCATCGTCATCATCGTCGTCGTCGTCGTCATTGGGTGTCTGTTTTGAATAAGAAAAATCACAGCAGGCTTTCTGCAAGTATACACATAGAAACATGCTTCTACTTACAAACTGTTATTAACAATGTTGTGTTGTGTGTTTTGCTGATAGACCTGGCACATTTATGTCCAAGCTGAATTAACTCTCAAGTGTATGTTTCTGGATTTAAATCTCACTAGTCACTTGTGCAGTGCCCATTCACAGGGACCGTTGAGACGCCTCCCTGCGGCTTTTTAGTGCAGTGCTAGTTCAAAATGTGCGTCTCACATCGGTCTCACTTACAGCATTAATGACACAGAAACACCACGACGAGCGTGTAAGCCCCGCCCCGCCTCTGCGAGCGTACCCTGTCCCCTTGCTGTTGCAGAGCGGAGCGGCTCACGCTGAACTGTAGTTTATTATTGAAAAGGTTTTAATTCTGAACGGTCCTCAGCATAATTGAAATACAAACAGACGCGCACACACACACACAGATTCCTGCCTTTATTAGAAAGATGGTGAAAACTCTTAAAGTTAAATCTAACGCTTATGGCTATGAACGTCCTACTTATTTCAGATTAACCAACAAGCAATTTTGTTTTAATAAGTATAGTGGAAAAATGGAATAGTAACTGAATTTTCTCCACATGTAAAGATACATCTTAAAGGGTCTCAGAGTGACACCACACACACTTTATTGAGTTTATTTCTGTCAGTGTTTGAATGTGCTACCTATGAGAAGGTGTACTCACGTGTCTTCTCAGTAGCAGTGACTGCAGGCCCTTCAGTCCCATCCAGCATCTGAGCGTACACACTTATCTTATACTGCGTGTTGGGCTTCAGGTTGTTGAAACAGTGTCTGTTGGATCCTCCTCCCAGCTTCGTCTCCTGCTTCTGACCGTCTGCAGTGAAAATACAAAGATCACCTCGTTATCATTCTGGAAAGGCTGAGGGTAAATATTTTATTTGCACATAAAGTATTAGAGAAGAGACACAGTAGTATTTTGTATGTGTAAATATGTTGCACTACTGAAATATGTCTCAAAACCAGTGAGTCACTGAAATGTTTCCTGTTGCTGCTGGTGCCACTTAACATTTTTTACAAACTAGGCCTCTTATTATAAATGTATTATTAAGGTACATTGGTCTTTGAGGTGAGACAGAGAGGAGGGTACAAGGATTCTCCAGGCGCTGAAATGTTTGTTTTGCAGAATTAGATTGTTTTCGGATGTATGTTGCTTCACATCGGAAAATTAGCAAATGTAAAAAAGTGCACACACTCAATCACATCAACACAACAAACTTAAATCCATCAGCTAAGGCGACAAGCAATTGTGAGTCATAAAGATGACCTGTCTTCTGATGGACCAGTGACAGAGGTTGTTGTTTAAATTCCTCTGTATATATGTCAGACGCGGTTGATAATGAGGATTAGCATTAAATATAGAACCATTTACTGACTCACACGATCTCCTTCACTCATGTTTGTCATTTAGATGTTTCTTGTCCCTCAGGACTGTTTGTCAGCAGCACAGTTTGTGTTTCTGCCCACACAAAACTGAATAAACATAAACTTTTATTACAGACAGAAATAAGTAACGAACCAAATCCAATTACGGGAAAAAAATAATAATCAACATGTGTTTGATGTTTTTCGTTCTCCCCATGCCGGTCAGGGTCCATCAGCAATCTGTCAAATACTTTAGAAAAACGTGTTATCCGGCAAAATACAAGGCATTCACTTCTACAACATCAATACAGAGGGCAGGTGGAACAGTTTAATGAGTTACTACAACTGAGGCTTATAATAAAACTACCAATATAAAACAACATCCAAACAGACTTATTTTAATTCTGCGTATGTGTGGGGATTTTCAACAACAAAACTAATGCATTTATTCAAAAGAAGAATGCATGGGAAAGCAAAAATCTGTGTAACTGCTGCAGGAAGGGAACTTGACTCAGCCATTACAGACAATTCTGAATATATTAAGGTCCCGTATCCTAACTGAAGGGCAGAATCCATTATATTATATAGACCCCAAGAGCTAACAAAATATATTAACAGCTATAAAAGGTCAATTTCTTCTTAGCTCATTGTATAAATTTTGAAAAACTCACAGTTAAGTTTAAAAATAACAGTGAGGTGGGAGAAAATGTGAGGGAGCTGAGTATGTTTAACAAGACAGGCATTTAATGTCGTCTTCACACAAACACGTGTACAACATCGTAAGCTATAATATCAAATAATAAAACAGGCTATAATCAGGAAATGTATGACTTTCAGTATTTGATGTCACAGCCATAAGGTTTAAAGGAGCTTTGCATGATTCAAAGTTAAAAAAGCCCTTATTTCTGCCTCTGTCTGAAACAAGCCATACTTAACATAAACATCTGACATTGAACATTATAGATATGAGAGAAAATACGGAAAAGCATGTCACCTTTAAGCAGCGGCAATATAAAAGTGACAATTTAAAAAATTGTGTTCTTTTCACCCTGCAGGAAAAGGTGAATGGTTGATCTGAGTAAACTCCAGTTGGATTCTGTCCTACAGGAGGATTTGTGAAAATACACTTAATACCAACTCTTCATTTCTCCATTCTTTATTGATCTCCTTTTCCCCCTAATTTGCCTCCCTCCCTCTTTATTTCCCACCCATCCGAACCAAAAACAGGATAATTTCAGTTTCATTTCTCTCTTTCTCCTGCGGGAGAGACACATTTCTCTGATAATTATTTACCAGCTGCGCAAACATAAATCCTCATTTGGCTCTATTGTGTGTTGAGAGAACCAATAACTCGATGCTCCCTGAAGAAACACAGGGGAACTGCAATAATATGTGCTTTTTATGTGATGCTAATGATGGCAGTGTTGTTGCTGGGGGCCTGAAGGTGATGAATAGCAGCCATTACCGTTCTATTTGGTGGATGACGGCTGTATTAAAAGTCAGTCTTACCTTTGAGGTGGTGACTGAATGGTGGACGTGTGCAATGGAATCGGAGCCACACCATCTGTTGTTTGACGTTATTTTGGTGTGTTTGGAGTGTGTTATCAGGTTCAAACAAATGGGAAAAATCACAATTATTTCTGTTGGCGCTGCGCCCGGTGGCTGCGGTGAACCAGAACCGAGAACATAACTTTCCTAACTGCAAGGCTTGTTTTTTGGAGGTGACTTTGGTGCAGAGTCATTTTTGACAGCTGAAGTAGGAGATGAATACCATGGAAGTAAGAAATGACTTTCATTAAAAGTTTAATAAAGGCTCTGGAGGTAAATTCAAGAAAGAGGTGAAGTTTCTTAAAGGCCAAAAGGGTCTATTGTGCAGTAGATCTGTTATTTTCCCCTCAAAATCCAGCATTTTAGTGTCTGTTTTTCTTCTGCTAAAAGCTCCGTCATATCAGAGGTGGACAACATTGATTGAGTGATATCTGATATTTAATAAAAGGTCAACTCATTCGTCAGCTGCACCCTCGTCTAGTGCACAGACACACGTCCAAGGAAGCCCATTTGACAGGATTTGGGCAGCAGTGGAAGAGGTGAAACCTGACAGGAAGTGTTTTAGCATGTCTTGTGTAATTTATAATAAATTGGATAGCGTAAGTACATATAGTTCTCAGTTTAAGCGTACGCCATATACGCCACAGAACCTCCATATTCCTATGTGTTGGCATAACACCGCAGGAGATCAGCTGTTTTAATCAGACTATCAGCGGTTTATGGAAGAGAAAATGAATGAAAGAAATTTTAAATGAGTAACTGACATGGACGCCGTTCACTGTGGAGACAAGTGGATGCCTTTTTGAAACAGAAGAAGAACTTTTAGAGAAATATTTTCTTTAAAAAAGTGATGTTTGATCTCTTTCTGACCCAAAGAGCTGATCTCCAAAAGCATTATACAGTGCACAGCCAAGTTGAGCTCATGTATAGGAATATGGAAGTTCTAAGGTTGAAGAAATATAGTTAGAAAAGGAAAGAAAGCACTGAAAATATTTAATATATAGCACACTTCCACAGCACAAATTATATTGATTTTGGTGATACACTGACTTTGGATACATACATATAGCCCCACTTTAAAAATCCCAAACTATCCCTTGAAATTGGATAAAACATGCAAAAAAAACATGTCCCCTTTTGAAAAAGTATCCAAAAGTCCTTTTTTGGTTGTTATAGTTTTGTGATGTTCTGAACACCGGATCAGTCCAGATGTCATTCATTAGGCTATAAACAAAAACATTTCTATCAGCAAGAGATTTCAGAAGTCCAACAACGGCATTTCACATGTGACTTTCTTAGCATTTCCGCCTGAGAAACAGCTCCTGACTTCACCACAAAGTTCAGAGGTCATTCACTTCAAACATTTCAAAAGTGACATTCAAAAAGTTGGGTTTGATCGTCATTTATTCCACTTTATGCGACTTCATTTTCACACTCCCTCACACATACTGAACTTCAAACAGAAGCACTTGTTCTGTTTATTGTTTCTGCAAAATGATTGTCTCACAATCAGAGAACAGGCTGCGTTTGCAAAGAAAACTTCAGAGAAACTTTGATGAGAAGGAAATAATTCTGTATTATTTTTATTCTATTCTCTTCTCACCTTAAAGTTTACTTCTCAGAATAGACACAAGGCATAATTACTGTCATCCCTGTTATGAGAACATCTCATCCCAACACACTTGGCAGCCATAATACCGACCTTTTGTCTTTTTTTCCGGTATTTTACCTCACGCAGCAAATGTAAATGTCACCCAGACTGCGATCCGTAAGCCTGCCTTGTCTACAGAGCGGCTCAGTGTCTGATTGCGCAGCTAAACCTTTAAGACTGTCAGCATGCCTCTGATAGGATACAACAATATCTTTGTTATATCAGGCTGCTTAGGAATTCAGAAAATTGGACACTCTCACACTGAAACTCCCACAGATGAAAGCTTGCGGGGATAAATGACCCCCCCCCCCCCCCTCCTCCTACCAGCACAGACATGGAGAAGGATATCTGAAGAGGACAATCACAGCTGCAGATACAGCATTATGTATCCCACTTTCTGGCTGATGTAGTGGTAGTGTTGCAGTTACATCTACAAACCTTGCCAGCCTGTCCTTAAAATCCACCAGACATCCACAGAAGTGTGCCAAAGGAGTGAATATTTGTCTGCATGCATGTTATTTGTATTTGCATACATCTCCCCTCTATAAAAAATGATTAGATGATCTTTATTATCTCACAGAAAGAAATTTGTTTTGTAGCTAGTACATAATAAAAATTATAATAATAAAAAACACCAACAAAAACATGTTGAAAGTAACAGGACATTTTCTTGAAGTACACATTCAGAACTGATGATGATCAATTTTAGTTTTATCTCTGTGCCCACTGCAGAAAAAGGGACAGTTTAGCATAGCTTAGCATAAATATTAGAGGCATCAACAGTGGTATAACTAGACCTTCCACTAAGCTGTTGTCTGTAACTTAAATGTTTCTATTGGCACATTTATTAAATACACAAAACATGTAAATGTTAATAAGATGTTAGGAGAGGTATTTATGAGTGATACACAATCAAAATTTAGCTCTTGGTCTGCCACTTTGGTTTCACAGGCACGCGATCTTACAGTGATCGTTTTCTGCAGTTTGTGTTCTATTAACAAATAACACTTCAGGTGGTCTGTGGTCTTTATACAAACTGTCACTTTGATTTATTCTCAGGATTTACTTGCAACACAGGAGGTTCAGTCACTGGGTTTTACAATACTGAAAATGAATTTTGGTACATGTTTTTCGTTTGAGCAGACTGGGGAAACATATTAAAAGGAAGACCAAGATAAATGTGTAGTGCAACAAATGTTCCAGGCTGAACTCCAACTTCCCAACAGCTGGATTAATTGCTAGTCACCTAACACCTGTGGCATGAGGGATTGCATGTAGAGGAAAGCAATGAAAAGAACACCATGCCGCTGAGTACTCACTGAGCAGCGACTCGATGATCACTCTGTAGCTGCTGGCGTGTCGATGAGGCTGCCACTGGGCGCACAAACTGGCCATCCTCACCTGATACACGCTCAGGTTGGTCACCCCCAGGTACACTGCAGGAGGGAAAGAGAGAGAGAAATAATTTCTGGAGTGGTTTTTCCTGGAAGAGCACAACTTTTCAGTAGCCGTCGTGAGCACAATACACAACCTTAACACTTGGGTGTTGCACCCGGTCCTTCATTCACTCATTGCCAGCTACCTTGGTGTTATTATCCAACTCCTGCTCTCTTCTGCTCCAGGACCACGCTCACCTGCCCACAGGTCCTTTTGAAATCCTGCCTCGCCGTTTCGACACCAACAAACCACAACTCTGAACAGGCTAGGCCCGCTCACTCCTGAATTATAACTCTGAAACACTGATAAAAATAGTATTGCGATCTAAGAACAAACTCCATGCTTCGTCTGAACTCTAAAAATATGCGTTATAGCGTTGTTAGCATTCTTCTCTACACGCTGCTGTAATAATAAAACTGTATATAAATGCACTGAGCTCACATTTGACAAACCACAAGCCACCGTGTTTCCAGTTGACAGATTTAAAGATGTATGGCCAGCGGACTTCAAGGACACCGACATGAGAGTTATTTACAGACGGAGAAATATAGCTTCTCCGTCTTCGCTCCAGAAGTGCAGCAAACACACACACACTTTATTTATGTTAATGGTATGCACTTTTATCATCCAACTTTTGAAAGAGTTATAGCATGCATGTTCCTGTGAGTTGGTAATGGCCTTGTACATCACAGTATATTTTACCTTCCCTCACACGAAACAGAACCTTCTCCAGCTCAGCCACATAATCTAATCTGCATTATTTTGGACTCCCTACAAATGCATAATGCATCTCTGCATAATGTTTATGTAAAAACCTTCCCTAGTGATTTAATTAGAAGACACAAAGTGATTCCTAAATCAGCATCTGAACAGCATAGTGCAGATAGTGAGAGACAAAACATCCCAGTAGTGGTGACTGCATATGCTTTTACTGATAATTTAACTTCCGGCGCTTTAAGATTTTTTTTTTTTTTTTTTTTTAAAAGAGGAAAACGTTCAGAAAAATCTGTTTCAACCACGTCATCTTTTGCTGACATGGTTGAAATCCACCTTTAAATCTCACGCTCCATCTTACCCTCAGGAGCAGGACCCCAAGACACTTGTACTCCTTCATCTGAGCGCTAAGCTTTTAGCAGCGAGAGTGGCCTCACACTCATTTAATCTGAACTCACAAGAACTCACAGTCCCTTAAGCCAGCCTTGAAAATCGGGTTTCACCGCGCACATAAGGAGAAACTTCACAGATGTTTGTCTCTCTTATCTCAAACATGCACACACTACTAGAGAGAAAGAAAAGGAAAGGAAAGGAATGAGAAATCATTTATTCTTGATGAGCACACCTTTTCAGAGGCCGTCGTGGCAGCAGTGAGCACAATACACAACCTTAACACAATTAGGCTGCCACCTGAGCATCAAGGCCCATTATCATTATTTGAAAATAATGTTGCATCACACACTACTGGATATTATTACGGTTATGGTGTCCAAGGGAACAATGCAACACCTCATGAGGAAGCAGATGTAATGTGGACTGACGTGCTGTACTTACTGTAGTAATGCTGTGTAATGAGAAAAAAAAACAAAAGCAAAAAGGCATAAGTCCGGATGAGAAAATGGCTGAGGAGACGTGGCCAACATGGATTGTTCATTCTTCAGTGAGAACTGGGGTCGAGCACTAAACTGTCAGTTTTAACAGTAGTATGCTAGCAGTGTTGACCATTGCTATGAGATAACTGTTGAAGTGAATTGGCGCTATATAAATAAAATTTCATTGAACTGAACTGCTTGGCAACACCGTCAGCTGCTGCAGGACTAGCGTTAGCTTGTGACGCTTCCGTCTCTTTATAGACTTGGCTGCTGTGGTGCCGCTCGAAAACTACTGCCAATTCAATCCAGATTTTAACTCCTAGATATCCAACATGTTTGATATTTTTGGTGCAGATGAGTCTGCGAGCAGCAGGGAGGTTTAACATTTTATCTGCAAACCCCTCACATTCCCAGATAATCTGGGCCGAACAAGGCTCCAGACGAGATTTCTTCTCCGACTGACAAGAGGAGTGAATCGGGGATTAATCGGCTCCAAAACTCCTGTAGTCTGAGCCCGACTTTGAACAACTCTATATTTACCTCTATGTTGAAGGAAGCAAAGTCGCTTGGTTAGCTCTCAGCCAGGAAATGTGCTCTCTGTTATTTTACTGGCTCCATGCACCTATGATTACTTTTTGCTCTAATTATCGTAATATTTACATAACATTTACTTATTTAGCTGATGCTTTTATCTACAGCGGCTTACAATGGCTATGTATGTGTCACAGTGGGAATCAAACCCAGGTCTCTCACACCATAGGCACGTGTTTTATTCATTGCCACTCCCTCCCACACATCACAACTTTCTTGTCTTCTTTTGTCAATATTATGGTTTTAACATTCATCCTGTTGCTTTTGCAGTTGAGACCACAAATGATCAACACACACACTATATCAGCAGCTATTTCTGCGTATTGTTTAAGTCTTGACACGTTCTGGTCCTTTTACAGAATTTTTTCAGTTACACAATTTGAACTAAATGTTAAGTATAAAGGTATTACAGCCTACTTTTTGTCTGTGATACTTGTGCTGGTGTGTGACATTGAAGCATCAGTCCGCTAATCTCTACTGGTGCATCGGCTTCATTAACATGCTGCTGAGCAATGTGGATCCCACTGGCCTCATATCATTATACTCTCTTTTCAACTCTACCCATCTCACAATCTTTCTTCTTCCTTTCCCCATCTTCTTCAGGTTTAGTCCCCTTTCCCCCACCCTCCCAACTTGTCCTTCAAAATCAACCAAGAAGTGCTTAATTGTCATGCAGGCAAAGGAAACTGTGGCTCCAAAGCAAAGTGATGTGCTTGAGATCCATTTAAAGCTACATGTCCAAGCATTGAGCTGACACTCACAATGAGAGCTCTTAACCAGAGAGACATTAGAATGGATGAAAGGGGGGGGGGGGGGTTCAGTGTCCTGCTCAAGGACACTTCCAGAAGACACATGCTTTTTGTCGGTCACAGTGGCTGAACCGGAGACCTTTCAGTTTAAAAAAGTGTATTTCACCATTAGGCCAGCATAAGGTGAAGTGTTTAATTATCATGCCGGAGAGAGAAATCCAGGCTCTTACTCAAATGGTACTTAAGAAGCCCTGATTGATCGAACTGGGCCAGACACTCAAAGAGCCTCGGGAAGTGTCCACATTGCCAGTGAGATAACTTGAATCTATTGCATCTACAGTTCATTTCAGGGCTGAAATGTAATTAGTTGCCATTAAAAGCGTCAGATGGATAAAGATATTGCAGTCTGCAGGTGTCTGGGCTGCTTCTCTGATTAGATTAGAGGAGATAGTTTTACTCAGTTACAGAATAGACAGAGGACACCAATAACAAGGTATTTAAAAGATCAAGTTTAAAAAATGACAACCAAACAATGATCTGACAGCAGTACTGGTGGCCCTAAAGCTGATGATACATGGGGGCAACTTTTTGAGCAATGTTGCTGGTGGCAAGTCTGACTACGTTTTGAACGGACAGTGGCGGGCAGGACGGGTGGCGGAGTGGTGGGGGAAGGGGATTGGGGGAGTAATCTTTACTCATTACCATTGACGGCAACATTGCCCAGCACCATTGCTCTAAAAGTTGCTCCGTGTATCATCAGCTTAAGATTCATTACGATGTGGACAAAGTTGTCTTGTATATTGTGTGTTTCCTTTGTGGCAGTAAATTTTCTACATTGAGATTTTATTCCTTTTTATAAAAACTTGCTAACTAGATATATAAATAATAATTAGACACTGTTAATGTAGTTGCACAACTTATTAAACACTATTATTGTGTAATAAAACACATGAAATTTCATAAGGAACAAGTGCAGATGGTAAATGTACAGTTTATGGAGACTGTCCACATCCTGTGGCGCTAACAAGGCAGCAGCTGAAAACTCCTCTATGGAAATATTTTAATCAGCGGTTCTTGTAACAGCAGAGATGGTCTCAATAAAAATTTCAAGACTGTATCCTATAATTAGCTGGGACTGCTGCTAAGAGAATCAGATGGGTATGAAGGCATTAACGTCTGAAGTGTTTGACTGGCTCTTCTAATTTTCTCAAACTTCAGCCGGCACTGACATGGAGAGCCAGCGAAAAATAATCTTAATATAAAAGGTTGACTGAATCAAGGGCAACAGCCATGAGCATTTGTTGCACATTTGTGGCATAAATTAGGGGGAAACAACGGCAAGCATTCAAACAGGGATGTAGTTTGACAGAGTAAAATAAAACTGGGCAAATACGATTTGGAATATATCAGTCAGTCACATGTTGAAAATGATTTGAAAGCTACAGTATGGATGAAAGAATTGTTTTCTAATAACTCTTAGAAGTTGGTGGATTACTTAGAGAAAGCATGGATGCAGAGGAAGAGAGCAGGGTAAGTTTTTAGTTCCTCTATTTAATATTTATATTCAGCCGAGGCTGTAATCTGTAACGTGTTTTTCTGCACAGTCAGCAAAATGCACTTTGTGACAAACATCCCCAGATCAACGCTGTGACATCAAGTTACTTACAGGTCTTGGCCCTCCCTGAAAGGGCGTCGCTGGATCCAGTGGTGTAGGAGGCGATCACCTTGATACTGTACTCTGTCCCGCTCAGCAGGTTGAGGATCAGCATGGTGTTCACGTCCTCTCCCACGAAGGTCTCCAGAGCTGGTCCAGGGGCTGCGGAGGGGCGGGATAATTGAGGACACGCGTCAAGGAGGAGCAAATGGTCAGTGAATGGAAGGAGCAAAGAGGAGTGAGTTCAGAGACGATTCCAGTGAGGCAGGAACTGATGGAAGATCAGTAGGTGGTAGAAAGTGAAAAAGTGACACATACATAAGACAAGAATATGAAAGAATGTGCAGGGAAAATGAGTCTGTGTGCGATTCCCACAGCCCACAGACTGCAGTCTTTAGGTTTTTGACTTGATTCATTAGTATTAATGTTCAGGTTAGCTAAGAGGATCCCTAAAAACATATGCTCATTGAATCATAAAAAAACATTCTAGTGTCTTTATCTTCGTTATCGTCACTGACAGCACATGAAGTGTTTGTTTGTCTATGTGGTTGGCTGGAAAACGTGTTTAAGGCACAAGCAGAATATTTTCACCAGCATTTCATAAGAAAATGAAATTGGCTCGATCTGTTGCTACTTACAAGTCATCTTAACTGCTGTGAGAAGAACGATGATTGTTGGTGTGTCCCTCAAACACTTCTGAGATAAACATCTCAAACTAAAGCCTAGGTGATATTTACTGCAGATATTCGGACAAATTCTACTTGGCAATTTTCTCTGTAATTCACTGAATATCCTCTGGGGGACATGCGTTTATACTCCCCAGTGAAAATACACTAAAGTTCATGGATGAATCTTTTCTGTTTCAGACACTCCATGACTTTTCATCACTTTGTCGCTGCTATTAAGGAAATAAAAATCCTCAATATAAACAGCATTCCATCTAACATTTCCTTATCCATTAAATCCTCAAGCTGTGTCTAAGAGGACTCTAGACTTCTTAATTAAAGTTTTTTAAGAACAGTGTAATTTACAAACAGTGCTTGAACCTGTTTAAATGCCCTGCCTGGTGTAGGATCTGTAATATTTGAAAGCCATCAGTATTTATTTTGATTGACACATAGGGCTGCTCGTTTATAGCAAAAATCATAATCACAATTATTTTGGTCATAATTGAAATCACGATTATTGATTGATTAAGGAAACATTGTGCATTTATTGAATTTTTTAAATTGAATGCTAACCAAGAGGAAGACAGCAACACTGTGTATGTGTGTAACCCTGAAATTCTACAGCGGTGCTCCCTCAGGAGATGCAGTTATTTAAACCAACGGTGAGGAAAGTATAAATCCAATAATACGTCAGAAGACGGGGACACTGTGAATTTTCCAAGGACGGACCAAGTAAAGCAAGGCTTAACGCACCGGGTTTAGGCATAAATAATATGTTATTTGTAAAACTATGAGGAGAGGAAAAGTCCTCTAGCCACTAGGCTAATTTCTGCAGCATAAAATGCCATAGGCTTAAGCTAATAATGGTGACTAGCAAGTTGTAACTGCTATTACCACTGAAGTAAACATCATAGCCTGAATGACAGTGAGTTGGGGATTTTAGAGAGGGGCCGCTGTAAAGAAAAAGGTGTGCTGGATTTATAACACAAAACTAGTGTCATTGCGAAACAGCAGCGCACAATAATCGTTTTAATTTGATTAACTTGTTTTTGTAATCGTTGGAAGCCAAAATCGAAATCCGGATTAAATTCCGATTAATTGCACAGCCCTATTGACAGCCCTATTGACAGAGTTATTGTGTGTGAGCGCGTGTGTGTGTGAATTACCAGACACAGGCTGGTAGACGACCCTGTAGCCCATGGTGGGTGAAGGTGGAACGTCCCAGCTGATCCTGAAGCGGTTGTACCATTCCTCTGATACCCGCAGGTTCTTAGGAGCTGAAAGAGGAACTGAGGAAAACAGAACAAAAGACAAAAAAAAGATTTTATGTTTCTATTAAAATGTTGATTAAATTTGGAAAAGAAAAAAAGCTACATTAAATATATGTATGATGCATTTCATCATCATTTACATTTATGTATTCAACAGGACTTAAAAAGATAAGATATTTAAATTTAAAATTAATTTGACCCTTTTTATCATTTTTATGTACCCTTTACTGTTTTAGAGGTAGGTGACATGCTAGGGCTCCATCTGGACTTGAACAAGGGAGAGGGATTAAATAAAATTACAGCGAGAAGACATGTAGACGGACAAAGAAACGGACGATACAGGAAGAGAGAAAAATCAAGAGAAAAGACATGAGAGCAAGACAGGAGCTGGAAGGCGGAAGACATATCAAATGAAAGAGCAAAAGAGGGTCTAAGAAAACGAAATGGTAATGAATCAGATGAGAATCAACTAGAACAATGTTAAATCTAATAAAATCCTTTCCAGTAATGTAATTCTTGGCCTGTCGGAGTGAATAAAAAAGTGCTTCATTAAAATAAACTGTCATCACAAAGCAGAGAAAGTTCAAGGAGAAGCTGGAAGGACAGAACCCAAGTTGGCAAGTGGAAGATAATGAACGAGAGTCAAAGAAAGAGGAAAGTTTGATAACACTTAATACAAATTCAACAGTCAGCGCATTGAAAAATGTACTTTGCTGTCTTTTTATTTTTTTTTTGACAGTGTGCAGCTGAATTAGCCTGTCACAAAGATAGTAAATCCAGTTATCACTAGAATGACAACTGGGAGAGGACTTCAGAAAACGGAACTAATGGCAGGATGGTATTAATTTAAAAAGCCGCCTTCTTTGAGGGAATATGTGATTTTTCTACCCATCTCTGGAGTACGCGTGCATTTGTAACCTCTATCTGCAGGCAGCTCTGGTCCTCCTGAAACACGATGGAATCAAATCCTCTGAAGATCCCTTTGTTAAATGTGAAACGTGAGACTTTTCTTTCCCCGGGTCCAAATCCCTGAGTGAATCTGCTGGCTGTTTTGTGTTGCCCATACAAAAGGCTGAAACCCCCCTCCCCCAATCATTCTCCATCATCCCTCTCTGAGTATTCATTCTTCTCAAGGTTTTATGAGCTGAAACCTACAGATCACCGCCTCTTCTGCCTCGTCTTGCCTCTTCACCTTCTATGGTAGTTGTCACCATTAAAAAGCCAATCATCCTCTCTACGTTCAGCCTTACTACCTCCTCTCAGTATCTGCTGCATGTTGAAATCCCCATATATTATACTCTCCTCTTCAGTTGCATTATCCATCTTCACTGTGCCCTCGCTGGTCCTGAGAAAATTACCATCGTCCTCTCAGCACTTTCTGTCATTTCTCACCCGTCAGGAATAACAGTAATAAGATACTGAAGATTTAATTCTTAATTCGGTGCTCACTCACTTTTGAGACTTATCTTCGGCCAGAAACTCGAAAAGAACTCATCACATGATTCTCAGAATTTGTGTGTGTTGTATTTAACATCTATTTGCCTGCTAAAAAAATGTTTTCCTTTCCCTCCTTGTCATTTTCAGTCAGTGGTCATCACTTCCATTACAGGTTCAAAACCCCAGATTGTTTCCAGCTGTTTTGTTTTTCCAACACTTCTAAAAATCCGGTCACTCCACCTGTATTCTTGGCCATGTTTTCTCTGTTTTATTGCCACGTTCCAGACTACTCGGAACTGGAAAATGTTAAGTTGAAATATCCGATTCCTAACCTCAAAGCGTTCCAGGTGCCTGGTGACGCCTGACGCCGAAAGTGAATAAAAAAAACATGGCTGACCGTGACAAACTCTTTGTCAAGTGTACAACCAGTTGCACCCTCAGCACTGTCCTTAGTGTTAATTCAAATTATGGCCATTTTAATGAAAACAAGTACATTATACTTCGTAATGTTTTCAAATATTATGGCTTTTTTTTTTTTTTTTTTTTTACAATTTACTGAATAACTTTTAAGATGAGATTCATAACCAGCTACCTAGCAACATATTTCTACATAAATTTACATGCAGAACATGTTTCACTATATGATAGTATTTATGCTTTTAATTAAATACATGCAAATATGCTTTTATGTTTACCATTTACAATGTGCGCTTCCATGGGAGCTGCCATTGTTGTGTGACGTCATTCAGCTGCTACTCGTGAAGTTGGGGAACAGATTTTTTTCTCTGTGTTTCTCTCTGTTCCCTTACTCTGCTTCTTGTCTGTCCTGATTGCCCTTATGTGTCTCAGCTGTGCGCCTGATTACCCTGCCTGCCTGGTTTGTGTTGTTCTGTGTCAGTATTTAAACCCGCAGTTCTGTTGAGTCTTTGTTGCTTCCTCGTCGTATGTTGTGTGTTCTGCCCTTGTTTTTGGATTACCCCGCTCACTTTTGGATTTATGTTGGTTTTGGACTTCCTAACCCATGTAAGCCTGTCTAGTTTGTTTATTAAATCACTAGATCTGCACCCGGCTTGTCAGTGTCTGCATTTGGAGTTTTCCTGCCTCTGCACTCTTGATATAGTTTTCACTTTTCTTCATTTTATTTTAGTTTAAAGTCTCCCATTTCATCATTAAAACCCTTGTCATCACCCTGCCCTTTCTGTCCTACTGTATATCTTTCTCAATGATCATATCGTCTCTCATTTATTCACATCCCGCCCATTCGTACTCGGCTTTGAAAAATAAACTTTTCTTCCCGAATACCAAAATCTTTTAAACATTTATCTCTGAGGTTTTTATCTCCTCCTCCTTATCTCCTTAATCTGTCTTCCGTCCATCTTCTGATTCCCTTTCATACCCAACTCAGTGATCAACTCGTCCCTCATAATTTAAATGCCCAGTTTACTCTGACTTTTCTGTCACATTATTTGCTTTTGCTTTCCTTCACTGCTAAAACCTCTCTGTACCTCCCATCCCTCAGTGGATCAGACCCTCAGATTATTTTGACTCTTTTGTGATATTATCTATCATCAGTTTGAGGCTAAAAACCCAATCATCCTCTCTGAATTCGCTGTCATGCCTCCATAAGCGTTACCTCATCCCTCATAGGTTCAAATCCTCAGATTACACTGTCTCCCTTTTGTCACATCATCTATCTTCACTCTAAAAAACCCAATCATCCCCTCTCTCTGCATTCTCGGTCGCACCTCCCTGGGTGATCATCTCATCCCTCACTTGCTTAACAGGAGCCATTCATCATCACCGGGTGACAGAGGCCCCATCATTTAAAAACCGGAGAACATCGTTAACGTCTGCTAATGTGTGTAATTCGCTGCACAGGGAGACAAGATGGGAGGGAGTGGAAAGATGAATGACTGGAATTTAGCGTTTCCCGCTCGCTGAAAGTCGAGTGTTTGTGCTATAATGTACTTGACAGCACAGAAAATCATTAGCCTCTGCTGGTGCTTTCACATTTAACAAAAGCAAAAAAAAAAGAATGCTTCCGACATATTTCTGTCTTCAGCTCCACAGGAAGGAAAATGGATGTTGAACATTTGAGCTACCTAGACAGGTTGCTATCGCTTTTAACTCCCCCGAAAAGTGACTGAGTTGAATTGAGTGTGATGAGCTGCACAGACGCAGGGGGGGTTTAAGTAGAAAGCACCTGAGCAAGTGCTCCTCTTCACGGAGGATGTCTCAGTTTAAATGCACTTACCAGTTAATGGAGGTCCTGCTAAAATGTAGTTTTAGGGGGGGAAGATCGAAGCTATTAGAAAACATTTTCCTTATAATACTAGATATTGCATCAAGTTCTTTTTTCAGTTTCATTTTAAAGGCACAACTCCAATATTCCCAACAGACTCAAATGGATGAGTTTCACAGTCCCAGTACAGCTGAATCAATAAAACATTCAGCATCTCACTTTTTTCAAAATGTATAAAAAAATAATTTAATCTTTAAAGCCCTTTTTTTTCCTCCAGGGGGTTTAACTTTCTCATAGATCTTTTTAATTTATTTGGACGACTAGAAGGAGTACGCCCCCTCAATCCATCTCCACTTTCCTTTTGGCAACATTCCTGTAACATTTTGTTCAGCAAGCGAGACTTACTAAAGAAGATCTGTGAACAGCTTCTTCCCACAAGCTGTCATCAACACAGCGGCACACCCTCTAACCCCCATATCAGCACTGTCACCTGAAACCAAGTAACTGTACTGTCGTGCACTAAAAGATACCTTGCTAATACAATAACTAGACTGCACAATGTCACTTTAAATACACCAGAAGAATGGGCTGCTATTATGCGACATGGTGGATGTGGTATGTGTTTTTTAACCAATATTTCTTAGCTATATTCTTAAATATTTATTTTTGTATTTGTTGTGTAACATTTTTATTATAGATATTGTTTTTATAAACAACTGGCACTTTGGTAAACAGCGTTTCATTTTTTATGTAAGCAAATACATGAAAAAATGATGAGGATTGAGGAAATGAGGAATCTTGAAGATGAATTGCTAACAAGTTTCTGTTTGTATCAGGGTAATGAAAGTTTAGTTTAAGACAGCTACAGTGGGTGGAATTATTTCTTTCATCTCAATCTCACTTTTTAAGTCTTCCTCTTTGGAGCCTGGCAGAGGTTGGGGTTTCATACTCCAGCACAAACACCTGATACATGTAGTTGTGTCCCAAAGCATCGTTATATGTGATGTTGTTTGTCTCAGTCCTAAATATTTTCAAGTCAGGGATGCCACTCCATCTTGTTCTCTAATTTTAAACCAATAAATAGTTTTGTTGGCCACATGGGGGCAGCAAGTTATAAACACAACATTGACACCTTGGAAGTTGATAAGGCAAACAGTAGCTTATTTATGCATCCAGCAGTTATGAAGCAACATTATAATTATTTTGAAGTCGCGTTTCTGGTCACCAGCCGAATGTGAATCTAATAGTCACTCTCTTTTACCTTTGTTTTTGGTCTCTTCTTACTCCAACTCCTTTAGAGTGAGTGTGAGCTCAACCAGTTTAGGTTTATTCTCACCGCTCTTATAGCGTTGTTTTCTGTTGTTTTGTTTTTAATAGAAAACAAAATCCCTAAAAAGTGCCTGTACACAACCTGCTCAACAGCAGACAGACACAGAGACTAGCCGGTGAACATAGTGGAGCATTTAGCAGCTAAAGGAGTTGGTGGAGATTAAAAACAGTTAAAAGAGAGACAATAATGAACTCACATTCACCACCTGACAAAAACACAACTCCAAGTCAATGATCATGTTGCTCTGTAACCAACCAAGTGTAAACCAACAACTTTTTTGCTAACAAGCTCACCATATCAACTTAAAAGGTGATGATATGTCAGTGTTGTGTTTACAACTTGTTTGCACTGCCCCAAAGTGGCAAATAAAAATCAGTTATTGCAGCTTTAAACCAGGACAGACTGATGATAACGAGGCGGATACATTAATAGACACGGGATCAAAACAAACTGAACATGAATATGACTTACGTGTTCGTCCCATTCGTGACACCATCGGCCCGTCTCCATCAGGGTACACAGGAGTGATGGTAACTTTGTACTCCGTATCTGAAAGCAGAGGCTGCAGAATCAGGCTGTTCTGACCTGTGGGCACCGTCCTCTGTAAGAAGAAACAAATTCAAGCTTAAAATTAGGTTTTAATTACATTTACTAAAAGAAAAAATACAAAAACAGTCACCTAAGCACTGTTTCCCATTAATTAATTAGACCATGGCGACCCGCCATAGTCTAATTTGCTCCGCCATAGTTTCAAAATGAACCGAAAAATATTTTTACATCTCATAATAAATTACAGACCTCTAACGGTGTGTTTTGTGGGCGCTGCTCCGCGCTTCTGTAAGCTCGCACGCTCAGACACTTTGCCCTCCGACTCCAGACAACAACTTTTCTTACGGTAAGTTAACGTGTTTCTGTCACTCGTTTGTGAGAAGGCGATTAAGCTTGCCGCGCCTACATTTGGAGTGCACACATATTAAAGCCTTTATGGTAAATCCACTGTAACTGTTAGAGACTTTATGAGACTTTAAGTGTTGCAGTATGAGAGTCCTACCTGAAGAGAGGCTGTGAAGTCTTCATGTTACGCGATACAAGAACCACATACAACATTATTTATTAAGTTCGGACTCTGGTTGGACTTAATGAATTTAGCGTAAGGATACACACAATGCCCGGTTTTCAAAATAAGGCGTCTATACAGCATGGAAATAAGATTAAGTGGATTATATTCACAGAAAGTATAAAACATGTGTCCAATAAAAGTAAAAAAAACAACAATAAAATGTTAGGGAAATTACTTGGGAAAACATTAAATAAATTTGTTTTATAGCTATACAATGGGTTTATGATCAAATAGTTTATTAGAGCACAACACTGTTTACAAGCGTACCAAGTTCTTCATAGACAGCCTCTTAATTTTGCACCAAATTAAAGTGTACAAAACTTTCTTACCCAGTGAGAGGGTTCAAGGCCCACCCACCATAGTCTCTTAAAATCCTGTGGGAAACACTGCCTAAGGGACATCACAGGTGGGTGTAGCTCAAAATTCTTGGCCCTATACATAAGCAGTCTCTGGGGGCCCCCTTCCTCTCTTCATCCATGTCTCTCACACTTCTTTTAAAATAGTTTTACAGATCATTGAGCCAACAACTTTACACACGAATCTGTTGTGATTATTATGGTAGTTACTAATGAAATTGTTCATTCCACATTTAAACAAGTAATACTAAGCTGTGAAATGTGCTCAAGTCTCCACAGTTTAAAACTTTCCCTATGGTTAAACGATGTTTGCTTGGAAAATCACACTTTAGAGTTAATTTAGACTGGACTGCACATGTAACAGTAATACACTGAAAAAAAACAAGTAAGATTATACTGTATATATAATTTAAAATGTGTTGTTGAAATAGGCCAAAAATAACTGCAGCCTACTCGTAAGCATATTTGTAACATTATTTAACCATCTGAAACTGAAAAATAGAACCACAGGCTATATTTTAATTAGACTCTGCTTCACTGATCACTGTGATCTTGAAATGATTCTCCTCAGTTGGCCTCTTTCAAGCCTATGAAAAGCCTGTGAATTCATCTGGCACTAACATTACTATCTTTTGAAGGCAGGTGTGGGCTCAGTTTTTAAGCTAGTGGTAAGAGCTAAACATAGCTCCAAAGTTGAACTGTCTTTACCGCGAGGTCTGCAATAGAGCAATATCTCAACCCAAAATGACTGCTTGTAATAACTTTAGAAAGCCACTTCATGAGCTCATCTCATCTCATTGACCTGCTGCAGCTCCACTCTCACTGGCTGAAACTGAGGGCAATTTGTTTCATGATGTTCCTTCTAGGGCTGGGGCGATGTGGCCAAAAATGTTATCACGATAAAAACATTTCACATCATTTGATATCGATAATTATCACGATAAATGTCAAATAAAGTTTAAAGGCTGATTTTTGCTCCTGAGTGAAAACTGAAGAAACCAGATGGTTAGTTAATGTGGTTAAACTTTTCTTTAAGGTCAGAATGTGACACTTGATGGATCACTTCACAAATCTGAGGTAGAACATTCAAAACTATTATGATAAAATCTATTTTAACAAATATGATTAGTAAATCTTTTCTCAGTCCCTTTTCCTCAACAAAACAAGTATTTTAATAGAAAATTAAGTGCTAATATGTTTGTGATTCAAATGCACTAAACCAAATAATTATTGACGATGTGTTGAACATTTATAATATTGTTAGAGGGAAATTATTTTGCGATAATTATCATTATTGTTTTATTGCTCAGCTCTTCCTTCTTAAACTATTTGTGCTAACCTTTCTTTTGAAAGAAATCAGTCAAAAGCTGTTTGCTGATTTCTCTTTCTTGGGGAAAGACATGACTTACACTGCACATTGGTGCTGCAGCATCAGCAGCAGTCACTTGGCTGGATTAGCTGCATGTAGAGATTAATCCTAGTGTGCAGGGCGCCTTTTGTTAGGGGTGAGAGAGCCTCCGCTTTAAAAAAATATTTATTCAACCAATTTAAATGTAGTTATGACACTAATAACTTACATATAACTTACAATAACAAACATTTCATGCCAACTTTTCCAGGGTAGTCAGTCAGTCCCACTTTTCCTCCCACTACGCTTCCTTTGGGACGGATTCTTCAATGAACTAAAAAAGCAAATTAAAATTTCACAAGTGCCAAAAACAGTTTTAGCCTTTTAATGGAGGGGAGGCGCAGGGAGTTGCTGTGGTGACGCTCTGAGCTTTCAGCTGCGGCAGAGGTTAATTGTGTCCAGGTTTCCTTCTCACCTCTCTGTGGAGTTTGTCTTTTGTTAAAACTGATACCTTAATGACTCATCTGTCCAGGTGAAGCACTGTTCTCATATTGCAGAAAAACTAATCTGCTTTTTTTTTTTTACCCTGCAGGCTTCTTTTCTTTCTTTCTCTCTGCATCCAACTCTTTCTTCTTCTGTTCCTCTGTTACCTTCTGCACCTTTGTTTCCCACGGAATGCTTCTCTCTCTGATGTTCATGAATTTTAATCATTTAATCACTTGCTATTTATCTCTATAAATCAGTATCACAATAAAGCTCTTTTCTTTATATGGCATATACTGATGTACTCTGTAGAGCTGTAGTTTTATAGATTAGATGGTAGTCTTTGGGAATTGTTGTTGTTTTGTTTTTACATAGTAATATATTTGCAAATTCAATTGAAAAACAGTTTTAAAACCCTAAACTCAATAGAGTGCAGATCTAGGTGTGCCTGGGGGCATGTCGTTGGGAACAAGTAGTGCCGTGCAATCAGTTTGTCTAGCGTGTATGTATGAGAGTAATTAATGAAGAGGAGAAAGTGCTTTTGTATAGTATAGTCCCAGTTATCCTTAAAGAGGTGGTATTATGCCCTTTATCAAGTTCAAAATCTTATTTAGGGCTTGTACCAGAACAGTTTTACATGGTTTAATTAAAAAAACACACCATATTTTTTGTCATACTGCACATTGCTGCAGCTCCTCTTTTCACCCTGTGTGTTGAAGGCTTTGTTTTAGCTATGGAGTGATGCATCTTGTCTCTAAATGATCTTTGTCGGGAGTTGCACATGCTCAGTTTCTAGTTAAGGACTACCAGCCAATCAGAAGCAGAGAAGGGCGGGTCGGCGAGAAGCCCGGCTTTTTCACTGTCACAAAACCTATTACGTGCACAAAAAAGGTATATAACTCAATAAAGGAGAGAGGAAAATCCAAAAAGCATAAAACCACTTCTTTAAGATGCACAGGATTGTGTAACGAAATTGTAAGCGAGCATCCTGAATTTGCTTAACTTACGATAAATCCAAACTTCTGAACATTCTTCTTTATTTAGAGACGTTATTTATATAGAACATTTTATTATTTATATAGCACATTTTATTATTTATATAGCACATTTTGTTGTAGCACAACATAAAATAAAACCCCTCCCTACCTTGCTCTCCCCTCCCAAACAAAGAATAGTTAAATCTGTCTCAATTGTCTCTCCCGGCTCCGTTACAGTCAAGAGACCAAACTTTTCAATGGATGCCAGCCAAAGGCTAAACTGTGGGCTGTAACTGACTAGGGTCAGCCTTGTTTTTAGCACAGCCGATTGCTGGAAATGCCTTTGGCACATATCGTACTGATGAAAAGACAGTGGTCTAAGCTTTACAATAGGTTCAGTCAATAAAAATCTGTGAATCACGGCAACCATGAAAGTATGCGAGATTCCAACAGAAACACCAAACAAAGGGATCATGCACTTGGTTGTGTGTTTGCATTTGGCCTACATTCTTATGCTAGGAAGAGATAATAAATTAACCAGACACAAATACAGCAAATTAATTAATAATATACTTGCCACATTGCAGCTTATTGTCCACGGTGGCCTAAGCAACTGGAGATTAAAGGAAGAGACGCCTCAGTAAGCACTACAGAAACATTTGTACTGTAAGCAAATCATCTCCCAGTATGTATTTGCAATATCTCCCAACTGGCTAACTGGGAATCATTTATCAATCAGAAAAATGTCAGTTTTTAACTTGGATGTTCAGAGATTTCGTACATTTGATTGAACAGAGGTTTTTTTGCTGCTACGATACCAGTTTACCAGTGTTATGTTGTTTTGTTCTGGGTATGAGAAATATTTTGGTATCTTAAAGATACCAAACAGTCTTTTCATTCCTCTGTTTCTCTCCACCACTGGCTTTGTGTCTCTGTCTGTCTGTCTCTTTGTCTGTAAGACCAGTTTGCATTCTGATCATGTACAGTCTAGCCTGGCTCTATCCACAAACCCCCTTACATCCCCCCAAAATACACTTTCTCAGACGTGTCAGTCAGACAAACACTGCAGGCCTTGACAAATCAATTTCAGCCCAGTCTCATGAAAAAGGCAGCAAGTCACTAAACTGTCACCAAGCACGGTTGGAGGACACCACCCAAAGCCGCACTCCTTTTACTTCACTTTGTAAATGCAAACATGATTTCATAAAGTATTTATAAAATCCAGAAAGCCAATCTAGTTTTGACAGAGGCTCTGTGCTGGCCCAGAATATTAAGTTTGATCAACCTGAGACTCTGCTGGAGCTAAATTGCTTGAAG